GAAGCGTCCGAGTGACCAGTGAGGACAACTCTGTCGCGTCCTCCAAGCACCAGCCCCATGCCTGATGTACTGCACAAGTAACGCAGCACCCTCTTAGTAGCCTCCCAGTGCTCTCGCCTGTGTCTCCCAGGTGCAACGTAACGAGCAAGGATGCTAAGAGGGTACGCGAGGTCAGGTCGCGTGCAAGTCATCAGGTACATGAGGCAGCCTACAAGCTCTGGGTACGGGCCACTCAGCTCTACGGACTCGTCCGAAGGTGGAGCTGAGAGCGAGTGGCTGGTAGCCAGAGGTGTGGCCTGTGGTGAGGAGAACTGGAAGCCGAAGCGCTGAAGGACCTGCTGCACCATGTGTGACTGAGTCAGGGTGATGGTGCGGCGAGCTCTGTCCCGGGTGATCTGCAAGCCAAGGTAGCTACGCAGTTCACCCAGGTCAGCGAAGCGGGCAGCGGGGCTGCGAAGCGGGCGGGCTGCGAAGCGGGCAGCGGGGCGAGCGGGCTGCGAAGCGGGCGGGCCGCGAAGCGAGCAGCGAGCGGGCGGGCGGGCTGCGAAGCGGGCAGCGGGACGAGCGGGCTGCGAGCGGGCGGCTCGGCGGGCGGGCGACACTGCGAGGGGCGCGCGAGGGCGCTAGTGAAGGGGCGCGCGAGGGCGCTAGTAAGGGGCGCGTGAGGGCGCTGACGAGGGGCGCGCGAGGGCGCTAACGAGGGTGCGCGCGAGGGCGCTAACGAGGGGGCGCGCGAGGGCGCTAACGAGGGCGCACGAGGGCGCTACGAGGCTAGGGCACGGGGTAGCGTGGTAACCGCATGCGAGCGGTGGTGGGCCCTTAAAAAAAAACGGTCGGCAGGTCCTAGGGACCTCCTGCTCTGATACCATCTCAGAAGAACTAGGCAAGAATGAATGAACTAGCAGAAGTTTGGGTACAAATATGAAACCCTAGTTGGGGTTGTACCCCATATTGGCTACCCCACTACAGCCTGTGCAGAACACAACCTGCAGGGGTACACCAGCAACAGTAGCAGGCACGGTAACAGAGCAGGTACAGCAGCAAAGGGACAGGCGACAACAAGACACTCCTGCCACCCCCTTACTCTCCTCCCCCCCCCCCGACCACAGGAGGGGCAGCAGGGAGAGAGAGGAGGCGGGCTGGCTCTGGCTGGTCACCCCCTCCATCCCCTCACCCTCCCCCTCCCCGTCCCCCCCACACTGCTGCAGGAGCAGCAGAGGGGGGAAGAGAGGAGAGGTGGAGGGACGGCTGCTGGTTGGTCTCACACCCGCCACCCCAGTGCCTCTCCCCCGGCTCCCCCACACCCTCCCCCCCAGCGGCAGCTGCAGCAGTGGGAACGAAAGGAGGAGGAGGGGAAGGGAAGCACACCACCCATCACCCCTCCTCCTCCTTTCGTTCCCACTGCTGCAGCTGCCGCTGGGGGGGAGGGTGTGGGGGAGCCGGGGGAGAGGCACTGGGGTGGCGGGTGTGAGACCAACCAGCAGCCGTCCCTCCACCTCTCCTCTCTTCCCCCCTCTGCTGCTCCTGCAGCAGTGTGGGGGGGACGGGGAGGGGGAGGGTGAGGGGATGGAAGGGGTGACCAGCCAGCGCCAGCCCGCCTCCTCTCTCTCCCTGCTGCCCCTCCTGTGGTCGGGGGGGGGGGAGGAGAGTAAGGGGGTGGCAGGAGTGTCTTGTTGTCGCCTGTCCCTTTGCTGCTGTACCTGCTCTGTTACCGTGCCTGCTACTGTTGCTGGTGTACCCCTGCAGGTTGTGTTCTGCACAAACTCCTGCTGCAGGCAGTTATGGGGGAGTGTTAGAATATATCTGTAACTGCTTGTAGCTGTAGTTTAGTGTAGTTATTATATACTGTTGGTGGTGCACCTTCTTTGCATGCTCTGTTTGCTATATGTACCCTAGTGCTATAGTGAACATCATTCCCATTCTCTCGTCTTGGCACAAACTCACTCGACTCCCCTTTGGCCTAGGCTACTAAGCCTAGGCCCTAAACCTAACTACCACTTGTGCTAGTTCTGTCAACACAGCCTACAAGCATAATACAGTTTAACATATACGGCGGAGAATAACTTCGGGACTGCAGCCTCAACCACGATTTTCGGGGTTATCTTCCTACAAAAAAAAAAAAAAAGGAGTTGAAGCTGAGGGTGTTTTCTTCGTTTCTTGGAGTGCGGTTGATACCTAGGACCCACGGGTGTTTAAACGTACACCGCGGGAAATTCTTCAGGGAGCGTGGGAGCAGCCGAGGCTTCGGGATTTACCTGCCGGTGACGCGCGATGAGGTGAAACATCGCAAAGCGCCAGTGGGAGTTTGCGTGGTTTTCAGTTAAGCGACATCGACGGGAGCAGTTTCGACGACGGGGTCAACGGCGTTGATGCCTCTAGGTTCCGTGAAATTCGGTCTCGGAAGACCCAGGGCAGTCCCCGGTTCTCGATTTAACCCACATGCTGGGGTCGGGTAACCGAAGGAAACTGATGGTGACCGGGTGGGCGGCTATAGCACGTCTGAGATTTTCGGAGGAGAACTGCACCTAGACCTGTGGATTTACGGGGCTACTTCTCGAGCGACGATTTCGGAGTTTGACGAAGGACTTCACGGTTTTACGGCGAAAGCGCGGCAATTTTGTGGCAGTACTTTCGAAGTTTGGTTACACGCGCGCGAAATTTACGCAGGGCAACGGCGCGGGAACTACACGGACTTTTCAAGGGGTACGAACGACTTACGACGAACTGGAGAAGGCGGCGGCAACAGTGACGGGGGGGGAGAGACAGCTGCAAATTTTCATCCCTGCCCACGAACTCTCGGCGGATTACGACAAAATTCTTGGAGAATCCATCCCAACTCTGCTTCCAACAACTCGCCATCGACCCGCCCACGACAAACATATTTAATTTCAGCCACGTCAGGTGCTGCCAGCTGCAACTGCTGCGGATGCTGCATGATTCTGGCGATGTGAAGACAAAAAGCTTCAGTTCGAGTACTCGGCAATTTCGGTTTCGGTTTCTGGTCTACTTTCGCTGGTTCGCCCTTGACGACTTTTGGGCACGTAATTCCTGGTTTCGACATCGACATTTCCACACCGACGCATTTTCACTTGGGTTCCTTCCATCAACGGCTTCCTTCGTGGGACTTAACACCCGGTTTTGTTTGTTTTCATCTCGGCGCAGCTGCTGGAACTTTTATGGTGTGTTTTCTTGGAGTGGGGGAGAAAGTGCTTCGCACTGTTCTTTCCTTGGCGTTTTCTTGGTCCTTTTCTGACTTTGTCAGGTTGCGACAGCACGACGGACGACCGCGATCACACCGACACGATCTACGGTTCCTGCTCAATTGCGTTTGAATTCGCGTCAGCAGGTTCCCTCCCTTTTCGCATCTGCTTCGACCGTCGGATCTACAGCATATGCATCTACGGCTCACAATCCAACTTTCATTACAATTGAGGTCACTTCATCTTCGACCGTCAGATCGAAATCTGACAACATCAACGGCCGACATTCCAACCTTTTCAACAATATTGTCTGGGGCATTTCAGCCGTCGGATTCAGCTGAAGTGAAGATCAACGGCATCCTCGCTACTGGGTGACCCTTTTCAGTACAGGGCTGCCTTATTTAGGAGGTGGGAGAGTGTAAGGATTTACAAATCCTTACTGAGGCGCTCGATAGCGAGGCCATCCCGAGGGCCACGCGACCAACTGGTTCGGCCTACAATTTCGCATCCCAACCTCACCGAGCCGCCTCCGCACCAATCGCGACACTTCGCGAGCCAACTCTACCACACCATCCCCGCCTAGCTAGGTTTTCCCCTATTTAGGCCTCGCTACTTCATTGTTCAGGCATTCGGTAGTTCAACATTCTCGTTATTCGATATCTGCGCACTCTCACCAGTTCATTCATAACAAAACCGAATCCGCTCCAACGCTCATCCCCTACAGCACGCGGTGAGACTCTGAATTCCAGCAGCGCTGCTCTGACTCACAGCCGCACCTCCCTCCCGCCAGATCTGCCACCACCACGCCATTGCTTCTTTCTCCTCTTTTTGCCACTAATATTCACTGCGCTTCGGCCCGCCGCGGATATTACCCCTTCGAGCCACCTCCTTTCGCGCTCTTTCAACCCTCACGACGGCTTAGTGACCCCCCAAGGAAAATCTGAGCTTAGTTGGCAGCGTTTGGGGTCGATAGGCAACCCACGTCACTCACTTCGGCCCCCTGGGTTGATTTCGACCGGCCATTTGGCTTAGGCGCTGCTGACTCGGACGATCGCATTCGATTTTTCGCATTTTCGCGCTCGAAAGTGTTCGTCGCAACGGCTTTCTACGCACCCCCCAAGGGGCCCAAGTTGGGCATGCGAACGCAACTCTCGCTTGCGCATTGCCACGCTCCCACCCAAACTGCTGCCTCCACCTCTCCCTCCGCATTTCGCACCGCCCTTTCTCCTTTTCGATCCTAGTTCTCACCTCGTTCTCATTCAGATCGGCTAGTTTTCGCTGCTCATTCAGTTTGACCAGTCCACGACTCCGCAGCTGCGCGCATTTCCAGTTTGTCGTCAGCTTCTGCTGCGATTTCACACGAATAATTTGCCCAAGCCGTTTAAGCCGCCGACAGTCGATCTTCACAGCATTTCTGATACGTCGTTTTTTTAGTCACGCCGAAGCCAATTTAATTCATGGCGGACGTGTTGTCGATTTTCGTCGCCAAGACCACTTAGCGACTTGCATACGACACTTGCCATCGGCCGCGTCGTTGGGGGTCACCTGCAGCTCAAATTCCTCACAAGCCTGCACGTTCAATTCGTCGCCGACGCGCTGACGACGCGTCGTGGATTCGTCCTCCCCGGGACCGCGTCGCGACTTTGGCCTGATCCGTACGTTCTCGTTTTCTTCTCACCGATCTATTTCATGTGTTGTTTGATAATCGTCGCAGATATGCCTTAAGCTTATCTTCCGTTCGTGATCATTGATTGTCATTAACGATACGTTCTCCATTTCCCGTCTCAGGTCATTTCCAGCATGAAGCGATTTTTTAGAATCGTGGTCGTCATTCCCAAGGTGGCTCTCGCAGTCGCCAGCCTTCCTCGCCGCTCTACCGCCGCTGCTCTCCGCTCGCCACGCGTCGTCCATCCGCCCACCCACCACCAAGCAGCAACCACCCCCTTCGCCTGCTCCCTCCATCGCCATTCCGCGGTAAGCCTTCAAACCCTTATGTTAGATCGCTTCACTTCTCCCTAATCGCGCGCTTTTCGTTCATGTTTCGTGCTGTTAAGACATTGTATTGTTCTATGAGAACTGTTTCTGAAAAATGTGTGTGCTTGTGTGCAGGAAGCAGCAAGCGCCATGAAATGCAGCAGTGAACAATCACGTGAGCATGGCAGCGAGGCAGAGAAGAAACGGGCAAGTGGCGTTCAGAGGCGTTCAGTCGCACGCAGCACCACTGGACGTGCCGCCCCACTCGCCATTCGCCTTGCCCTGCGTGCAGATAAGTACCCTCGCCGTGCAGTGCCGTGTGTTCTCCATGCCACGCGCCCCTCTCCATGCCTCATCACATCCCACGCGCCCCTCTCCATGCCTCATCACATCCCACGCGCCCCTCTCCATGCCTCATCACATCCCACGCGCCCCTCTCCATGCCTCATCACATCCCACGCGCCCCTCTCCATGCCTCATCACATCCCACGCGCCCCTCTCCATGCCTCATCACATCCCACGCGCCCCTCTCCATGCCTCATCACATCCCACGCGCCCCTCTCCATGCCTCATCACATCCCACGCGCCCCTCTCCATGCCTCATCACATCCCACGCGCCCCTCTCCATGCCTCATCACATCCCACGCGCCCCTCTCCATGCCTCATCACATCCCACGCGCCCCTCTCCATGCCTCATCACATCCCACGCGCCCCTCTCCATGCCTCATCACATCCCACGCGCCCCTCTCCATGCCTCATCACATCCCACGCGCCCCTCTCCATGCCTCATCACATCCCACGCGCCCCTCTCCATGCCTCATCACATCCCACGCGCCCCTCTCCATGCCTCATCACATCCCACGCGCCCCTCTCCATGCCTCATCACATCCCACGCGCCCCTCTCCATGCCTCATCACATCCCACGCGCCCCTCTCCATGCCTCATCACATCCCACGCGCCCCTCTCCATGCCTCATCACATCCCACGCGCCCCTCTCCATGCCTCATCACATCCCACGCGCCCCTCTCCATGCCTCATCACATCCCACGCGCCCCTCTCCATGCCTCATCACATCCCACGCGCCCCTCTCCATGCCTCATCACATCCCACGCGCCCCTCTCCATGCCTCATCACATCCCACGCGCCCCTCTCCATGCCTCATCACATCCCACGCGCCCCTCTCCATGCCTCATCACATCCCACGCGCCCCTCTCCATGCCTCATCACATCCCACGCGCCCCTCTCCATGCCTCATCACATCCCACGCGCCCCTCTCCATGCCTCATCACATCCCACGCGCCCCTCTCCATGCCTCATCACATCCCACGCGCCCCTCTCCATGCCTCATCACATCCCACGCGCCCCTCTCCATGCCTCATCACATCCCACGCGCCCCTCTCCATGCCTCATCACATCCCACGCGCCCCTCTCCATGCCTCATCACATCCCACGCGCCCCTCTCCATGCCTCATCACATCCCACGCGCCCCTCTCCATGCCTCATCACATCCCACGCGCCCCTCTCCATGCCTCATCACATCCCACGCGCCCCTCTCCATGCCTCATCACATCCCACGCGCCCCTCTCCATGCCTCATCACATCCCACGCGCCCCTCTCCATGCCTCATCACATCCCACGCGCCCCTCTCCATGCCTCATCACATCCCACGCGCCCCTCTCCATGCCTCATCACATCCCACGCGCCCCTCTCCATGCCTCATCACATCCCACGCGCCCCTCTCCATGCCTCATCACATCCCACGCGCCCCTCTCCATGCCTCATCACATCCCACGCGCCCCTCTCCATGCCTCATCACATCCCACGCGCCCCTCTCCATGCCTCATCACATCCCACGCGCCCCTCTCCATGCCTCATCACATCCCACGCGCCCCTCTCCATGCCTCATCACATCCCACGCGCCCCTCTCCATGCCTCATCACATCCCACGCGCCCCTCTCCATGCCTCATCACATCCCACGCGCCCCTCTCCATGCCTCATCACATCCCACGCGCCCCTCTCCATGCCTCATCACATCCCACGCGCCCCTCTCCATGCCTCATCACATCCCACGCGCCCCTCTCCATGCCTCATCACATCCCACGCGCCCCTCTCCATGCCTCATCACATCCCACGCGCCCCTCTCCATGCCTCATCACATCCCACGCGCCCCTCTCCATGCCTCATCACATCCCACGCGCCCCTCTCCATGCCTCATCACATCCCACGCGCCCCTCTCCATGCCTCATCACATCCCACGCGCCCCTCTCCATGCCTCATCACATCCCACGCGCCCCTCTCCATGCCTCATCACATCCCACGCGCCCCTCTCCATGCCTCATCACATCCCACGCGCCCCTCTCCATGCCTCATCACATCCCACGCGCCCCTCTCCATGCCTCATCACATCCCACGCGCCCCTCTCCATGCCTCATCACATCCCACGCGCCCCTCTCCATGCCTCATCACATCCCACGCGCCCCTCTCCATGCCTCATCACATCCCACGCGCCCCTCTCCATGCCTCATCACATCCCACGCGCCCCTCTCCATGCCTCATCACATCCCACGCGCCCCTCTCCATGCCTCATCACATCCCACGCGCCCCTCTCCATGCCTCATCACATCCCACGCGCCCCTCTCCATGCCTCATCACATCCCACGCGCCCCTCTCCATGCCTCATCACATCCCACGCGCCCCTCTCCATGCCTCATCACATCCCACGCGCCCCTCTCCATGCCTCATCACATCCCACGCGCCCCTCTCCATGCCTCATCACATCCCACGCGCCCCTCTCCATGCCTCATCACATCCCACGCGCCCCTCTCCATGCCTCATCACATCCCACGCGCCCCTCTCCATGCCTCATCACATCCCACGCGCCCCTCTCCATGCCTCATCACATCCCACGCGCCCCTCTCCATGCCTCATCACATCCCACGCGCCCCTCTCCATGCCTCATCACATCCCACGCGCCCCTCTCCATGCCTCATCACATCCCACGCGCCCCTCTCCATGCCTCATCACATCCCACGCGCCCCTCTCCATGCCTCATCACATCCCACGCGCCCCTCTCCATGCCTCATCACATCCCACGCGCCCCTCTCCATGCCTCATCACATCCCACGCGCCCCTCTCCATGCCTCATCACATCCCACGCGCCCCTCTCCATGCCTCATCACATCCCACGCGCCCCTCTCCATGCCTCATCACATCCCACGCGCCCCTCTCCATGCCTCATCACATCCCACGCGCCCCTCTCCATGCCTCATCACATCCCACGCGCCCCTCTCCATGCCTCATCACATCCCACGCGCCCCTCTCCATGCCTCATCACATCCCACGCGCCCCTCTCCATGCCTCATCACATCCCACGCGCCCCTCTCCATGCCTCATCACATCCCACGCGCCCCTCTCCATGCCTCATCACATCCCACGCGCCCCTCTCCATGCCTCATCACATCCCACGCGCCCCTCTCCATGCCTCATCACATCCCACGCGCCCCTCTCCATGCCTCATCACATCCCACGCGCCCCTCTCCATGCCTCATCACATCCCACGCGCCCCTCTCCATGCCTCATCACATCCCACGCGCCCCTCTCCATGCCTCATCACATCCCACGCGCCCCTCTCCATGCCTCATCACATCCCACGCGCCCCTCTCCATGCCTCATCACATCCCACGCGCCCCTCTCCATGCCTCATCACATCCCACGCGCCCCTCTCCATGCCTCATCACATCCCACGCGCCCCTCTCCATGCCTCATCACATCCCACGCGCCCCTCTCCATGCCTCATCACATCCCACGCGCCCCTCTCCATGCCTCATCACATCCCACGCGCCCCTCTCCATGCCTCATCACATCCCACGCGCCCCTCTCCATGCCTCATCACATCCCACGCGCCCCTCTCCATGCCTCATCACATCCCACGCGCCCCTCTCCATGCCTCATCACATCCCACGCGCCCCTCTCCATGCCTCATCACATCCCACGCGCCCCTCTCCATGCCTCATCACATCCCACGCGCCCCTCTCCATGCCTCATCACATCCCACGCGCCCCTCTCCATGCCTCATCACATCCCACGCGCCCCTCTCCATGCCTCATCACATCCCACGCGCCCCTCTCCATGCCTCATCACATCCCACGCGCCCCTCTCCATGCCTCATCACATCCCACGCGCCCCTCTCCATGCCTCATCACATCCCACGCGCCCCTCTCCATGCCTCATCACATCCCACGCGCCCCTCTCCATGCCTCATCACATCCCACGCGCCCCTCTCCATGCCTCATCACATCCCACGCGCCCCTCTCCATGCCTCATCACATCCCACGCGCCCCTCTCCATGCCTCATCACATCCCACGCGCCCCTCTCCATGCCTCATCACATCCCACGCGCCCCTCTCCATGCCTCATCACATCCCACGCGCCCCTCTCCATGCCTCATCACATCCCACGCGCCCCTCTCCATGCCTCATCACATCCCACGCGCCCCTCTCCATGCCTCATCACATCCCACGCGCCCCTCTCCATGCCTCATCACATCCCACGCGCCCCTCTCCATGCCTCATCACATCCCACGCGCCCCTCTCCATGCCTCATCACATCCCACGCGCCCCTCTCCATGCCTCATCACATCCCACGCGCCCCTCTCCATGCCTCATCACATCCCACGCGCCCCTCTCCATGCCTCATCACATCCCACGCGCCCCTCTCCATGCCTCATCACATCCCACGCGCCCCTCTCCATGCCTCATCACATCCCACGCGCCCCTCTCCATGCCTCATCACATCCCACGCGCCCCTCTCCATGCCTCATCACATCCCACGCGCCCCTCTCCATGCCTCATCACATCCCACGCGCCCCTCTCCATGCCTCATCACATCCCACGCGCCCCTCTCCATGCCTCATCACATCCCACGCGCCCCTCTCCATGCCTCATCACATCCCACGCGCCCCTCTCCATGCCTCATCACATCCCACGCGCCCCTCTCCATGCCTCATCACATCCCACGCGCCCCTCTCCATGCCTCATCACATCCCACGCGCCCCTCTCCATGCCTCATCACATCCCACGCGCCCCTCTCCATGCCTCATCACATCCCACGCGCCCCTCTCCATGCCTCATCACATCCCACGCGCCCCTCTCCATGCCTCATCACATCCCACGCGCCCCTCTCCATGCCTCATCACATCCCACGCGCCCCTCTCCATGCCTCATCACATCCCACGCGCCCCTCTCCATGCCTCATCACATCCCACGCGCCCCTCTCCATGCCTCATCACATCCCACGCGCCCCTCTCCATGCCTCATCACATCCCACGCGCCCCTCTCCATGCCTCATCACATCCCACGCGCCCCTCTCCATGCCTCATCACATCCCACGCGCCCCTCTCCATGCCTCATCACATCCCACGCGCCCCTCTCCATGCCTCATCACATCCCACGCGCCCCTCTCCATGCCTCATCACATCCCACGCGCCCCTCTCCATGCCTCATCACATCCCACGCGCCCCTCTCCATGCCTCATCACATCCCACGCGCCCCTCTCCATGCCTCATCACATCCCACGCGCCCCTCTCCATGCCTCATCACATCCCACGCGCCCCTCTCCATGCCTCATCACATCCCACGCGCCCCTCTCCATGCCTCATCACATCCCACGCGCCCCTCTCCATGCCTCATCACATCCCACGCGCCCCTCTCCATGCCTCATCACATCCCACGCGCCCCTCTCCATGCCTCATCACATCCCACGCGCCCCTCTCCATGCCTCATCACATCCCACGCGCCCCTCTCCATGCCTCATCACATCCCACGCGCCCCTCTCCATGCCTCATCACATCCCACGCGCCCCTCTCCATGCCTCATCACATCCCACGCGCCCCTCTCCATGCCTCATCACATCCCACGCGCCCCTCTCCATGCCTCATCACATCCCACGCGCCCCTCTCCATGCCTCATCACATCCCACGCGCCCCTCTCCATGCCTCATCACATCCCACGCGCCCCTCTCCATGCCTCATCACATCCCACGCGCCCCTCTCCATGCCTCATCACATCCCACGCGCCCCTCTCCATGCCTCATCACATCCCACGCGCCCCTCTCCATGCCTCATCACATCCCACGCGCCCCTCTCCATGCCTCATCACATCCCACGCGCCCCTCTCCATGCCTCATCACATCCCACGCGCCCCTCTCCATGCCTCATCACATCCCACGCGCCCCTCTCCATGCCTCATCACATCCCACGCGCCCCTCTCCATGCCTCATCACATCCCACGCGCCCCTCTCCATGCCTCATCACATCCCACGCGCCCCTCTCCATGCCTCATCACATCCCACGCGCCCCTCTCCATGCCTCATCACATCCCACGCGCCCCTCTCCATGCCTCATCACATCCCACGCGCCCCTCTCCATGCCTCATCACATCCCACGCGCCCCTCTCCATGCCTCATCACATCCCACGCGCCCCTCTCCATGCCTCATCACATCCCACGCGCCCCTCTCCATGCCTCATCACATCCCACGCGCCCCTCTCCATGCCTCATCACATCCCACGCGCCCCTCTCCATGCCTCATCACATCCCACGCGCCCCTCTCCATGCCTCATCACATCCCACGCGCCCCTCTCCATGCCTCATCACATCCCACGCGCCCCTCTCCATGCCTCATCACATCCCACGCGCCCCTCTCCATGCCTCATCACATCCCACGCGCCCCTCTCCATGCCTCATCACATCCCACGCGCCCCTCTCCATGCCTCATCACATCCCACGCGCCCCTCTCCATGCCTCATCACATCCCACGCGCCCCTCTCCATGCCTCATCACATCCCACGCGCCCCTCTCCATGCCTCATCACATCCCACGCGCCCCTCTCCATGCCTCATCACATCCCACGCGCCCCTCTCCATGCCTCATCACATCCCACGCGCCCCTCTCCATGCCTCATCACATCCCACGCGCCCCTCTCCATGCCTCATCACATCCCACGCGCCCCTCTCCATGCCTCATCACATCCCACGCGCCCCTCTCCATGCCTCATCACATCCCACGCGCCCCTCTCCATGCCTCATCACATCCCACGCGCCCCTCTCCATGCCTCATCACATCCCACGCGCCCCTCTCCATGCCTCATCACATCCCACGCGCCCCTCTCCATGCCTCATCACATCCCACGCGCCCCTCTCCATGCCTCATCACATCCCACGCGCCCCTCTCCATGCCTCATCACATCCCACGCGCCCCTCTCCATGCCTCATCACATCCCACGCGCCCCTCTCCATGCCTCATCACATCCCACGCGCCCCTCTCCATGCCTCATCACATCCCACGCGCCCCTCTCCATGCCTCATCACATCCCACGCGCCCCTCTCCATGCCTCATCACATCCCACGCGCCCCTCTCCATGCCTCATCACATCCCACGCGCCCCTCTCCATGCCTCATCACATCCCACGCGCCCCTCTCCATGCCTCATCACATCCCACGCGCCCCTCTCCATGCCTCATCACATCCCACGCGCCCCTCTCCATGCCTCATCACATCCCACGCGCCCCTCTCCATGCCTCATCACATCCCACGCGCCCCTCTCCATGCCTCATCACATCCCACGCGCCCCTCTCCATGCCTCATCACATCCCACGCGCCCCTCTCCATGCCTCATCACATCCCACGCGCCCCTCTCCATGCCTCATCACATCCCACGCGCCCCTCTCCATGCCTCATCACATCCCACGCGCCCCTCTCCATGCCTCATCACATCCCACGCGCCCCTCTCCATGCCTCATCACATCCCACGCGCCCCTCTCCATGCCTCATCACATCCCACGCGCCCCTCTCCATGCCTCATCACATCCCACGCGCCCCTCTCCATGCCTCATCACATCCCACGCGCCCCTCTCCATGCCTCATCACATCCCACGCGCCCCTCTCCATGCCTCATCACATCCCACGCGCCCCTCTCCATGCCTCATCACATCCCACGCGCCCCTCTCCATGCCTCATCACATCCCACGCGCCCCTCTCCATGCCTCATCACATCCCACGCGCCCCTCTCCATGCCTCATCACATCCCACGCGCCCCTCTCCATGCCTCATCACATCCCACGCGCCCCTCTCCATGCCTCATCACATCCCACGCGCCCCTCTCCATGCCTCATCACATCCCACGCGCCCCTCTCCATGCCTCATCACATCCCACGCGCCCCTCTCCATGCCTCATCACATCCCACGCGCCCCTCTCCATGCCTCATCACATCCCACGCGCCCCTCTCCATGCCTCATCACATCCCACGCGCCCCTCTCCATGCCTCATCACATCCCACGCGCCCCTCTCCATGCCTCATCACATCCCACGCGCCCCTCTCCATGCCTCATCACATCCCACGCGCCCCTCTCCATGCCTCATCACATCCCACGCGCCCCTCTCCATGCCTCATCACATCCCACGCGCCCCTCTCCATGCCTCATCACATCCCACGCGCCCCTCTCCATGCCTCATCACATCCCACGCGCCCCTCTCCATGCCTCATCACATCCCACGCGCCCCTCTCCATGCCTCATCACATCCCACGCGCCCCTCTCCATGCCTCATCACATCCCACGCGCCCCTCTCCATGCCTCATCACATCCCACGCGCCCCTCTCCATGCCTCATCACATCCCACGCGCCCCTCTCCATGCCTCATCACATCCCACGCGCCCCTCTCCATGCCTCATCACATCCCACGCGCCCCTCTCCATGCCTCATCACATCCCACGCGCCCCTCTCCATGCCTCATCACATCCCACGCGCCCCTCTCCATGCCTCATCACATCCCACGCGCCCCTCTCCATGCCTCATCACATCCCACGCGCCCCTCTCCATGCCTCATCACATCCCACGCGCCCCTCTCCATGCCTCATCACATCCCACGCGCCCCTCTCCATGCCTCATCACATCCCACGCGCCCCTCTCCATGCCTCATCACATCCCACGCGCCCCTCTCCATGCCTCATCACATCCCACGCGCCCCTCTCCATGCCTCATCACATCCCACGCGCCCCTCTCCATGCCTCATCACATCCCACGCGCCCCTCTCCATGCCTCATCACATCCCACGCGCCCCTCTCCATGCCTCATCACATCCCACGCGCCCCTCTCCATGCCTCATCACATCCCACGCGCCCCTCTCCATGCCTCATCACATCCCACGCGCCCCTCTCCATGCCTCATCACATCCCACGCGCCCCTCTCCATGCCTCATCACATCCCACGCGCCCCTCTCCATGCCTCATCACATCCCACGCGCCCCTCTCCATGCCTCATCACATCCCACGCGCCCCTCTCCATGCCTCATCACATCCCACGCGCCCCTCTCCATGCCTCATCACATCCCACGCGCCCCTCTCCATGCCTCATCACATCCCACGCGCCCCTCTCCATGCCTCATCACATCCCACGCGCCCCTCTCCATGCCTCATCACATCCCACGCGCCCCTCTCCATGCCTCATCACATCCCACGCGCCCCTCTCCATGCCTCATCACATCCCACGCGCCCCTCTCCATGCCTCATCACATCCCACGCGCCCCTCTCCATGCCTCATCACATCCCACGCGCCCCTCTCCATGCCTCATCACATCCCACGCGCCCCTCTCCATGCCTCATCACATCCCACGCGCCCCTCTCCATGCCTCATCACATCCCACGCGCCCCTCTCCATGCCTCATCACATCCCACGCGCCCCTCTCCATGCCTCATCACATCCCACGCGCCCCTCTCCATGCCTCATCACATCCCACGCGCCCCTCTCCATGCCTCATCACATCCCACGCGCCCCTCTCCATGCCTCATCACATCCCACGCGCCCCTCTCCATGCCTCATCACATCCCACGCGCCCCTCTCCATGCCTCATCACATCCCACGCGCCCCTCTCCATGCCTCATCACATCCCACGCGCCCCTCTCCATGCCTCATCACATCCCACGCGCCCCTCTCCATGCCTCATCACATCCCACGCGCCCCTCTCCATGCCTCATCACATCCCACGCGCCCCTCTCCATGCCTCATCACATCCCACGCGCCCCTCTCCATGCCTCATCACATCCCACGCGCCCCTCTCCATGCCTCATCACATCCCACGCGCCCCTCTCCATGCCTCATCACATCCCACGCGCCCCTCTCCATGCCTCATCACATCCCACGCGCCCCTCTCCATGCCTCATCACATCCCACGCGCCCCTCTCCATGCCTCATCACATCCCACGCGCCCCTCTCCATGCCTCATCACATCCCACGCGCCCCTCTCCATGCCTCATCACATCCCACGCGCCCCTCTCCATGCCTCATCACATCCCACGCGCCCCTCTCCATGCCTCATCACATCCCACGCGCCCCTCTCCATGCCTCATCACATCCCACGCGCCCCTCTCCATGCCTCATCACATCCCACGCGCCCCTCTCCATGCCTCATCACATCCCACGCGCCCCTCTCCATGCCTCATCACATCCCACGCGCCCCTCTCCATGCCTCATCACATCCCACGCGCCCCTCTCCATGCCTCATCACATCCCACGCGCCCCTCTCCATGCCTCATCACATCCCACGCGCCCCTCTCCATGCCTCATCACATCCCACGCGCCCCTCTCCATGCCTCATCACATCCCACGCGCCCCTCTCCATGCCTCATCACATCCCACGCGCCCCTCTCCATGCCTCATCACATCCCACGCGCCCCTCTCCATGCCTCATCACATCCCACGCGCCCCTCTCCATGCCTCATCACATCCCACGCGCCCCTCTCCATGCCTCATCACATCCCACGCGCCCCTCTCCATGCCTCATCACATCCCACGCGCCCCTCTCCATGCCTCATCACATCCCACGCGCCCCTCTCCATGCCTCATCACATCCCACGCGCCCCTCTCCATGCCTCATCACATCCCACGCGCCCCTCTCCATGCCTCATCACATCCCACGCGCCCCTCTCCATGCCTCATCACATCCCACGCGCCCCTCTCCATGCCTCATCACATCCCACGCGCCCCTCTCCATGCCTCATCACATCCCACGCGCCCCTCTCCATGCCTCATCACATCCCACGCGCCCCTCTCCATGCCTCATCACATCCCACGCGCCCCTCTCCATGCCTCATCACATCCCACGCGCCCCTCTCCATGCCTCATCACATCCCACGCGCCCCTCTCCATGCCTCATCACATCCCACGCGCCCCTCTCCATGCCTCATCACATCCCACGCGCCCCTCTCCATGCCTCATCACATCCCACGCGCCCCTCTCCATGCCTCATCACATCCCACGCGCCCCTCTCCATGCCTCATCACATCCCACGCGCCCCTCTCCATGCCTCATCACATCCCACGCGCCCCTCTCCATGCCTCATCACATCCCACGCGCCCCTCTCCATGCCTCATCACATCCCACGCGCCCCTCTCCATGCCTCATCACATCCCACGCGCCCCTCTCCATGCCTCATCACATCCCACGCGCCCCTCTCCATGCCTCATCACATCCCACGCGCCCCTCTCCATGCCTCATCACATCCCACGCGCCCCTCTCCATGCCTCATCACATCCCACGCGCCCCTCTCCATGCCTCATCACATCCCACGCGCCCCTCTCCATGCCTCATCACATCCCACGCGCCCCTCTCCATGCCTCATCACATCCCACGCGCCCCTCTCCATGCCTCATCACATCCCACGCGCCCCTCTCCATGCCTCATCACATCCCACGCGCCCCTCTCCATGCCTCATCACATCCCACGCGCCCCTCTCCATGCCTCATCACATCCCACGCGCCCCTCTCCATGCCTCATCACATCCCACGCGCCCCTCTCCATGCCTCATCACATCCCACGCGCCCCTCTCCATGCCTCATCACATCCCACGCGCCCCTCTCCATGCCTCATCACATCCCACGCGCCCCTCTCCATGCCTCATCACATCCCACGCGCCCCTCTCCATGCCTCATCACATCCCACGCGCCCCTCTCCATGCCTCATCACATCCCACGCGCCCCTCTCCATGCCTCATCACATCCCACGCGCCCCTCTCCATGCCTCATCACATCCCACGCGCCCCTCTCCATGCCTCATCACATCCCACGCGCCCCTCTCCATGCCTCATCACATCCCACGCGCCCCTCTCCATGCCTCATCACATCCCACGCGCCCCTCTCCATGCCTCATCACATCCCACGCGCCCCTCTCCATGCCTCATCACATCCCACGCGCCCCTCTCCATGCCTCATCACATCCCACGCGCCCCTCTCCATGCCTCATCACATCCCACGCGCCCCTCTCCATGCCTCATCACATCCCACGCGCCCCTCTCCATGCCTCATCACATCCCACGCGCCCCTCTCCATGCCTCATCACATCCCACGCGCCCCTCTCCATGCCTCATCACATCCCACGCGCCCCTCTCCATGCCTCATCACATCCCACGCGCCCCTCTCCATGCCTCATCACATCCCACGCGCCCCTCTCCATGCCTCATCACATCCCACGCGCCCCTCTCCATGCCTCATCACATCCCACGCGCCCCTCTCCATGCCTCATCACATCCCACGCGCCCCTCTCCATGCCTCATCACATCCCACGCGCCCCTCTCCATGCCTCATCACATCCCACGCGCCCCTCTCCATGCCTCATCACATCCCACGCGCCCCTCTCCATGCCTCATCACATCCCACGCGCCCCTCTCCATGCCTCATCACATCCCACGCGCCCCTCTCCATGCCTCATCACATCCCACGCGCCCCTCTCCATGCCACCCCAGGGCGACCCTGCAGACCTCCCTGTCTCTTCCCCTAGCTCTGTCCGTCCGTGTCTTCCCTTGCCCGCGTCCGTCCGTGCGTCCGTCAGGCTTAGCTGTCCGCGTGCGTGCGTCCGTCCGTCTGAGGTCTGCAGTGTGATCGCCCTGCCTGCCTGCACTCATGCGCACATCACGCCACACCCACATCACGCCACACCCACATCACGCCACACCCACATCACGCCACACCCACATCACGCCGCACCCACATCACGCACGCATCACCCGCATTACCAATTTCGACTCTCACTCGTCACACCCACGCACCTCCTGTTCCTGGACTGCACCTCATTCCGCCACGCCCCCCACTCCTTCTCCTCCCTCCCCTTCCTGCCCGCCCTCACCGCTCTTCCTGCCAGGCCAGCACAAGGCGAGCAGCAAGCGAGGGGAGTGCAGCAGGCGAGGGGAGGCGAGGGGGGCGCCAAGACGGGCAGCGGGGCAGCAGCGCCGGCCTCATCAACGGTTGAGGTTGCAAGTATCGCCTGCCACCACACTCCACAAGGGCCCCACTCCCCCCCTCAGGTTCAGGTTCAGGTTCAGGTTCAGGTGCAGGTGCAGGTGCAGGTTCAGGTTCAGGTTCAGGTTCAGGTGCAGGTTCAGGTTCAGGTTCAGGTTCAGGTTCAGGTGCAGGTCAGGTGCAGGTTCTGGTTGGTAGGGGCTCTTGTGGGGTTGTGGGCGGCGTCACGTGCACCGTCGTTTCTGCACTCGCACTGCTGTCACGCGCTCTTCTCACTTGCAAGGGCCGCTCCCTCCCGCCTGCCATGTACTCACTCTCTCTCTCCCTTCTCTGCCTTGCAGGCCTCACTCTCTCCTTCCCTTCAAGCCTAACGCCCACTCTGCATCAACGCACCCCCTCCGCCTGCACCACCACGCCTCCAGCTTTAAGCTAAGTGACTCGCCTCCTTCAACCTTGCCTCTCATTCTGCTTCATGTATTTCCTTTCCATTCCGTCTGCTCTCAAATCTCGCCACTGGTTGGGGCTCGACTCGCAAGCCACAGACCTCCCCCTTGCTATTCCAAGTAAACCCCTCAGGTTCAGGTTCAGGTCCAGGTCCCCTTGGAAGTCTGTGGCTTGTGCTTGTGCCTCCACCAGTGGCAACTCCCTCTCATTCGCCTTGCATGCTCTGCTGTAGCACTTTTGTCCACTTGCTGCCCACTCACCAGCTCTGCGTGTGTGCCTTGCAGGTGGGGGGGAGGGGCGTGGGGGTCAGCACCGCCATTCCGCATGCCTCTCCCCGATGGCCATGCAGGGAGGAACGCACACGGCAAGGCGGGGAGGAGGGCTGCCGGTAAAGGAGTCACCTGGTGCTGCAGCAGCTGCCCTCTGCTCGCCCTCACGTCTTACAGCTAAGTTCCCTCAACCCCTTGCCTGCCTCGCCATGTCTTGTGTACTTTGCTTGCATCTCGTGTTTGCATGCGCTTTCGCACCTTCCTCTTGAAACAACGCCACTGGTTGGGACCGTCGCACATGCTGCAGACCCCCTTACTTCAGGTAACCCTCTCAGGTGCAGGTGTGCAGGTACCCCCTCAGGTGCAGGTGTGCAGGTACCCCCTCAGGTGCAGGTGTGCAGGTACCCCCTCAGGTGCAGCCCTTGGGTCTGCAGTTTGTGACTTGGCCTCCACCAGTGGCCCCTCCCCTCTCCCGCCTTGCAAATGCCGTTCCCTCTCTTGCACTTTCACCATTCATCCCCTCGCTGCCCACTGACCAGCTCTGCGTGTGTGCCTTGCAGGTGGAGGGGAGGGGCGGGGGTCAACACCGACGCTCCCTCACGCCCCTCCCCTGTGGCCGTGCAGGTACCCGTGGGGATGGGAGGGAGGCAGCACTGCCAATCGCTGCACCAAGGGAGAGTATCGGGGTGGGCTTGGCCTCTCAAGGTACGTCACCTCCCCTCTTGCCCTCATCGCTCTCCCTTTCTGCTCCTCAATTTCGCCTTTTCATTTTCTTTAGCTGCAGCTGTTGTTGTTTTTCCTGGTCATGCCAACTCAACTGCTGTTTCTTCCCCCCCTGTCTGCTGCCCCTACCAGGTCACTTGGCATTCAACAGGAGACGCACACTGGAGGAGGAGGGGAGGGGAGCAGGGACGAGGCAACAGCTCCCTCGAACGTTCTCCATCTGCCAGCTAAGTTCCCTCAACCCCTTGCCTGCCTCGCCATGTCTTGTGTACTTTGCTTGCACCTCGTGTTTGCATGCGCTCTTCCTCTTGAAACAGCGCCACTGGTTGGGACCGGCTCACATGCTGCAGACCCCCTTACTTCAGGTAACCCTCTCAGGTGCAGGTACCCCTCAGGTGCAGGTGTGCAGGTACCCCCTCAGGTGCAGCCCTTGGGTCTGCAGTTTGTGACTTGGCCTCCACCAGTGGCCCCTCCCCTCTCCCGCCTTGCAAATGCCGTTCCCTCTCTTGCACTTTCACCATTCATCCCCTCGCTGCCCACTGACCAGCTCTGCGTGTGTGCCTTGCAGGTGGAGGGGAGGGGCGGGGGTCAACACCGACGCTCCCTCACGCCCCTCCCCTGTGGCCGTGCAGGTACCCGTGGGGATGGGAGGGAGGCAGCACTGCCAATCGCTGCACCAAGGGAGAGTATCGGGGTGGGCTTGGCCTCTCAAGGTACGTCACCTCCCCTCTTGCCCTCATCGCTCTCCCTTTCTGCTCCTCAATTCTGCCTTTTCATTTTCTTTAGCTGCAGCTGTTGTTGTTTTTCCTGGTCATGCCAACTCAACTGCTGTTTCTTCCCCCCCTGTCTGCTGCCCCTACCAGGTCACTTGGCATTCAACAGGAGACGCACACTGGAGGAGGAGGGGAGGGGAGCAGGGACGAGGCAACAGCTCCCTCGAACGTTCTCCATCTGCCAGCTAAGTTCCCTCAACCCCTTGCCTGCCTCGCCATGTCTTGTGTACTTTGCTTGCACCTCGTGTTTGCATGCGCACTTCCTCTTGAAACAGCGCCACTGGTTGGGACCGGCTCACATGCTGCAGACCCCCTTACTTCAGGTAACCCTCTCAGGTGCAGGTACCCCTCAGGTGCAGGTGTGCAGGTACCCCCTCAGGTGCAGCCCTTGGGTCTGCAGTTTGTGACTTGGCCTCCACCAGTGGCCCCTCCCCTCTCCCGCCTTGCAAATGCCGTTCCCTCTCTTGCACTTTCACCATTCATCCCCTCGCTGCCCACTGACCAGCTCTGCGTGTGTGCCTTGCAGGTGGAGGGGAGGGGCGGGGGTCAACACCGACGCTCCCTCACGCCCCTCCCCTGTGGCCGTGCAGGTACCCGTGGGGATGGGAGGGAGGCAGCACTGCCAGTCGCTGCCACAAGGGAGAGTATCGGGGTGGGCTTGGCCTCTCAAGGTACGTCACCTCCCCTCTTGCCCTCATCGCTCTCCCTTTCTGCTCCTCAATTTCGCCTTTTCATTTTCTTTAGCTGCAGCTGTTGCTGTTTTTCCTGGTCATGCCAACTCAACTGCTGTTACTTCCCCCCCTGTCTGCTGCCCCTACCAGGTCACTTGGCATTCAACAGGAGGCACACACTGGAGGAGGAGGGGAGGGGAGCAGGGACGAGGCAACAGCTCCCTCGAACGTTCTCCATCTGCCAGCTAAGTTCCCTCAACCCCTTGCCTGCCTCGCCATGTCTTGTGTACTTTGCTTGCATCTCGTGTTTGCATGCGCTTTCGCACCTTCCTCTTGAAACAACGCCACTGGTTGGGACCGTCGCACATGCTGCAGACCCCCTTACTTCAGGTAACCCTCTCAGGTGCAGGTACCCCCTCAGGTGCAGGTGTGCAGGTACCCCCTCAGGTGCAGCCCTTGGGTCTGCAGTTTGTGACTTGGCCTCCACCAGTGGCCCCTCCCCTCTCCCGCCTTGCAAATGCCGTTCCCTCTCTTGCACTTTCACCATTCATCCCCTCGCTGCCCACTGACCGCCTCTGCGTGTGTGCCTTGCAGGTGGAGGGGAGGGGCGGGGGTCAACACCGACGCTCCCTCACGCCCCTCCCCGGTGGCCGTGCAGGTACCTGTGGGGATGGGAGGGAGGCAGCACTGCCAGTCGCTGCCACAAGGGAGAGTATCGGGGTGGGCTTGGCCTCTCAAGGTACGTCACCTGCCCTCTTGCCCTCGTCTCCCTCTCTTTCTGTTCTTCTGTTTTGCCTTGTCGATTTCATCAACTTCAGTTCTGTTTTTCCTTCTCTGGTCCAGCCAACTCACTTGCTTTTACTTCCTTCCTTTCGTCTGCCTCCACCCCCTTCGCCTGTGGCCGTGCAGGTGCCTGTCTGTGGGGATGGGAGGGGGGAAGCTCTGCCAGTCGCTGCCACAAGGGAGAGTATCGGGTTGGGCTTGGCCTCTCGGGGTACGCCGCCTCCCCTTTTGCCCTCAACCCTCTCTATTTCTGCTCTGTAGTTCCGCCTTCTCTTTCTCGTCAACTTCAGTTCATTGGTTTCTCTAGTCCAGCCTATTCACTTTCTTTTACTTTCCCCCTATTCTTCTGCCCCCACTCCTGCAGGCCACCGGGCATCGAGAGAAGACTGTAGCAGAGAAGCTGAGTAGCAGACCGGCAGCAGCAGTAGCAGCAGCAGCGGCAGCAGCAGCGGCAGCAGCAGCAGCAGTGGGGGGTGTGGGGGGTTCGAGGCGGGCTAGGTTAGGTCGAGTCGTGAGCGAGGTGTGGTATGGTATCAGGTAAGGTACGGTAACAGGTTTGGTATGAAGATCTGATCCCCTCCTCTCTTTCTTCCTCCCCACCCCTCTTTGCAGCCTGAGTATGGAGGGAGCACTGGAGCAAGGGCGGGACAGAGGCAGCTCTCTTTTCATCCTCACCTACCCCTCCCCTTCTCCCTCCCGCTGCCCCCCTCCCCTCTTTCCAGCACGGTCGATGCAGCCTGAGGGAGAGAGGGAGCAAGGGCGGGACAGAGCCATTGCACTAACCTTCCCCCCCTCCCCTCTCCTCCTCCCTCCCCACTTCCCAACACCCTGAGGCAACATGGCGGTCTGCATGGCTGTGGTAGGTAGAGGTAAGAGGCATGGGGTGAAGGGGAGAGTGGGGAGGCGGTGGGAAGCATGGGAGCAAGTGGGCAGGTCACTCTCTCAGGGGCAGCATCCTCTAGGGATGTGCCTTGCGGGCCGGGGTGTGGTGGGTGGAATCTGCGCGGCACGGCACTCGGTGCTCAAGTAACTAACCTGACGTTAAGGCTTAATGGGCACCGTCAGAGTCGACCGGCCGGCGACTCTGGTTCGCGTCAGCTCTAGCTACGTCAGGGGCAGGATTTGAGTCTTGGGCTGGAAGCAATTTTCCACTACCACACCTTGCACTGCAAGGCACAGACCCTGAGCGTGCTGTTTCCGAAGGGGAGTGGGCTGTCTGCTTCTCCTACTGCTGGCAGGTAAGGTGGGGGATGGGGTGATGGTGGTGAGAGGCAGTGGGGTTGGCGGTGGCATATGATGAGCCATATGGCACTGATGCCACCCTTAAGCATGGAAGCATGATGCTCATGCTTGGCTGGTTGGGGGCACATGATGAGTTGCACTGATGCCACCCTTAAGCATGGAAGCATGATGCTCATGCTTGGCTGGTTGGGGGCACATGATGAGTTGCACTGATGCCACCCTTAAGCATGGAAGCATGATGCTCATGCTTGGCTGGTTGGGGGCACATGATGAGTTGCACTGATGCCACCCGTGCATGGAAGCGTGATGCTCATGAGTGGGTGAAAAGGGCTGAGTATTCTTGGGTGGGTGAGAGCAAGTGAAAGGGGCTGAGTCCCCTTGGGTGGGTGAGAGCAAGTGAAAGGGGCTGAGTCCCCTTGGGTGGGTGAGAGCAAGTGATAAGAGCTGAGGCCCCTTGTGTGGCCGCATGGCACTGATGCCACCTGTTGCATGAGAGCATGATGCTCGTACTTGATAGGTGGCATATGATGAGCCGTATGGCACTGATGCCACCTGTCGCATGAGAGCATGATGTTCACGCTTGGTTGGTGGCATATGATGAGCCATATGGCACTGATGCCGCCTGTTGCATGGGAGCGGCCAGTTTTGGATGTTCAGATTTGAGTGTATGTTGTGGTGGCATCAGTTTCATGAGATTTGTGTTGTGAGTGTATGGTGAGGGTGAGAGCAGAGAGAGTGGTCAAGTTGAGGGGTTAGAGTGTGGTCAGGTTGGAGTGGTGACAGTGATGAGACTTGTGGCCAGAATGGTAAGAGTGTGGTGTTAGTGATTGGTTTGAGTGAGTTGTTACAGTAAGTGGTGAGAGTGCAGTGAGGGTGGGTGGTGAGACAGTGATCTTCAGTGAGTGGTGAGAGTGCAGTGAGGGTGGGTGGTGACAGTGGCATGAGGTGCAACAGTTTGCAGTGTACAGGGATGTATTATTGGCAGGGGCATGCATGAGCACATCGAGTATCCATCTTTGCACTCGTGGATACATGTGTGTATCCATGCAGTGTGCATGAATTTGCACATGCGCGAGTGTACATGGTATCAACTTACCCATATACTGTATCTCACCAGCTGATTCTATTTTCTGGAATTCCTGAGGTTCTGGAAAGGGCAATTTTCTGGAATGTATAGCCATTTTTTCGAAAGGACACTACTAAAACCTGCATATGCCATATTCTTTCTGGAATGGTGTTTTGTACGTTGTTACATCATGCAACTTGAAAACGGGCATCTCAACGCACGTCGGTCAGAAAAAAATAAACCCCATCTGGATGGCATGCGATTAGGGGAGCCCCAACCCTAAACACGGGGAGCCCCAAACCTAAACACGGGTAGCCGCATGGTTCTGCCCGAAAAGATTGCATTTGCAAACCCGCACTGGGAAAATGAGATCGCAGTTCGAATTGTCCGATATCAGTATTAGATCACCTCGTCCCACTTTTATGCTCCCAGATTCTTCCAGTGGAACAAGTTGCATTCAGATTCAGCCTCCTGACGACGTCGCACATCCCGCATCGTCGTAGGATCGGCGAATCGCACCTCAGCAATGCCCCTTCCCCATTTCTCGGCTCTCTCCCCGCGCGTATCCCGTTCTTCCGTTTCCGCCGCCTTCTCTTGCGCGGCGCAGCGCCTCTCCGCCAGTGGAACCCCCCGCGCGACACCCCTTTCCGCTTCCACCTCACGCACACTCCTAGCTCCCCCTGCCGCGAATACGCGTGTTGATCCCGCAACCGCCGTTCTTCCGCCGAGCTTTCCGCACACTTCCGCTCGACCGCTCGACCGAGCTTTCCGCAAATCCCGCGCATTCACCGGCAATTCCGCAAAGCTCCCGAGCGGGATACTCACACCTCCCTCTAACGCGTCCGCTTTTTCCGCCAGTTCGCGCGCGGTTCCCGCGAGAGCTCAGATGGCGTCCGCAGCCGTTGGCGACGCGGAGAGCGTGCCGGAAATTAAGGGACGCGTGGAGGCGAACGGCGTGGCGGTGCTGACGATGGATCGCCCCAAGGCACTCAACGCCATGAACCTAGGTGCGTTGGGGGCCACCCTCCCATCACCCCGTGACTCGCGAGCCCCACCCTCACCCTACCTGTGTCCCGCGAGCCGCAAGGCGCTCAACGCCTGCGAGTCGGGTGCGCGTGATAGTTGGTGACCAGTGACCTCACGGCGAAGATACGCGAGAAGAAATTTCACGAGAAGCGATTTTCTTTGTTATCCCACGAGACAAAGCTTGGTTCATTGTAGGGCAATCCTGGCTTTCCTGACACAGCAGAGGTGGATTTCGCCGGTAATTCCTCCCTTTCGCGCCCTCACTCCCCGCTTCCTTCAATCTCGTCCTCCCAACTCTGCCACTGCCAACCCCCCACCCTGGCCTGGCGGGCAGGCATGGACCGCGCGTACAAGGCGCTGCTGGACCAGTGGGCGGTGGACCCGCGCGTGAAGGCCGTGCTGGTGGAGGGCTCCACTCCGCGCGCCTTCTCCGCTGGTGCGCTGGGCGGATGGGGGATGGGCGGATGGGGGGATGGGGGGATGGGGGGATGGGGGGATGGGGGATGGTCGGGGATGGAGAGTATTATGGGGAGGGGAATGGAGTGGAGCACAAGGGGAATTCAGGGGGTAGGAGCAGGGCTGATAGCGGGAATAGCGGGGGAGATGCACGGTTGACAGTGGTTGTCTCATTGCTCTTGCACAGCCTTATTGCACCGTGCGCTGCCTGTTTTTCACCTCTCATTAGTTGTATACGTCCACACACAACATGGCATGACGTGATTTCGCATGGGATGGCATGGCATGGCATGAGTGGGGATGACGTGAATGGGAATGGCATGAGTGGGCATGGCATGTGCATGGCATGTGCATGGCATGTGCATGGCATGATATGGCATGGCATGGGTATGTGCATGGCAGGCATGGACATCAAGGGGGCGGTGGGATACATCAAGGAGGACATCAACACTCCATACGTGCCCCAGGTGCCACCCATCGCCCTCTCCCCCACTCATCCTCATACCCTTTCTTTCTTCCCCCCCTTTTCCCCCAACCTCTCCCCCACCTCCCCCCTCTTCCCCCCTCCCTGCCACCCCCACCATGCCCTCCTTCCACCCATTCCTTCCACATGGCGCATTGCATCACGTCACGTGATCATGGCATGGTAATGGGGCATGGGCGATTGGGATGGGCATGGCATGATGGCATCAGGAGGCGATGTGAAGGCCATTGTCACGAGCAACCGAGAGGAACTGGGCATGGAGGAAACAGCCGTGCAGGTCATGCCCATGCCCATGCCCATGCCCATGCCCATGCCCATGCCCATGCCCATGCCCATGCCCATGCCCATGCCCATGCCCATGTCCATACCCATGCCCATACCCATGCCCATACCCATGCATGCCTCTCCTTTCTATGGTCTTATCCCCCATCGATCCGCCCACAAACCCCATCCCTTCCCCACCACATGCATTCTACGCCCTCCCTTCTCCTCCTCCCCGCTCTTGACGCATTTCTCAGCATGTTCTCATCACACTAGGTAGCCTCGTTTGGTCCCTTGCCTCTCCCCCGCCCCTCCCCTCCTGAAGCCTCACATGTTGTCCTGCGTACACCCTCCCTCCATGTCCTCCCCCACCCCTCCCAACCCCTCCCCACCGTCCCCCGCCATCCCCCCTCCCACTCCCCCCCCCTTCCCCCCCAGGTGTTCACAGCAGAGTACACGCTCATCTGCGCCATAGCGCGTTACCCCAAGCCCTACATCGCTCTCATGGACGGCGTCACCATGGGCTTCGGCCTCGGCCTCTCCGCTCACGGCCGCTACCGCGTTGTTACTGAGGTGGGTGTAAGACGTAGGAGGGGAGAGCACTACGGGGCATGTGGGGGCGCGTGGGGGTATGTGGGGGCGAATGATGGCACGTGGAGGAACATTGTTGAGGGCGATGTGGCATGTAGAATGTTGGTATGGATCAAGCCATACGTCGCTCTCATGGAGGGCATCAGTGCGTCACTGAGGTGCATTACCACGTTCGCTACCGCGTTGTCACTGAGGTGGGGTGAAGGGGGTGGGCAGGGCAGGAAGGGATTAATGCTGCTTGTTAAGATAGATACTGCTGAGATTTATGTTGTCATGATCTGCACTGTACTGTTTGTGTATACATGTCACCCATCCAACCCCACCCCATCCCATCCCATCCCATCCCACCACACCGCATCCCATCCCACCACACCGCATCCCATCCCACCACAGCGCGCCCTGATGGCCATGCCAGAGAACGCCATTGGTCTCTTTCCCGATGTGGGCTTCGCACGCATCGCTGCTCTCACGCCCGCCGGCGGTGCTCTCGGTCAGTCACTGTGCCTCAATCAAGTGGATCAGCAGCCAGCAGTGGTAGCCTCTGCGGGTACCACTGCTGCTTAGTTTTGGGGTTGGGGAAGGAGGGGGCTGGGATTGTAAGGTTCAGAGGAAAATCGGTGTGCATGAGTCCCTGCAGGGCCCCAAGCGGGTCGGCATGCTGGGCTTGCGTTTTGCACCTGGCCTGACCCACTTAGGGCATAGTAAAAAGGGGTCTGCTAGAATGCCAGGCATGAATTACTGGTCGCATGAATTACAGTCCAGCAACAGCACAGCCACTACGGCTGCTGTGCAGCAAGCACTCGTGGCAATGGCAATGCTTGCCTGGTCAATTGCCTCTTCAGTAGTGGCTGTGTAGCTTCACCACAGCCACCACGGCTGCTGTGCATCGAGAGTCACTACCGTCACAAGTCCCTCCCTGTATTCCTTCTCAACCTTTGCCTGTTTCTCAATGCCAAGAGGTCACCTTGTCTCCCACAATTGCCTTCTCTTTACCAGCTTCCCCTATCCTGATCCATCCTTGTGCAATGCAGGCACGTACATGGGCATGACGGGGGCGCGCATCAGCACGCCCAACGATGCCCTCTTGGCAGGCCTCGCCACACACTATGTTCCCTCCGCTGCTCTGCCCAACCTCAAACAAGACCTGCTCCAGGCTGAATTGTGCGCGCTGGGGAATGATGAGGGGTGATTGAGGGGCGGATTTGGGTGCTGGGGCTTGGTTTCGGGTGTTGGTGGGTGCAAAGGAGGGCAATGGGGACAAGAGACGCTCTGGCACCATACTTTCCTACCGCCTCCTGCCACGCCCTACCCTCTACCCACTCTTTGCTGCCACATTCCCACCAACCAAGCTCAACCTTTGCCCCCTCTATTCATCCCCTTGTGCCCCATCTACATGGCATTGTACCCCTGCACTGCGCCCATCCTTCCCATCCTTCCCGTCCTTCCCATCCTTCCCATCCTTCCCATCCTTCCCATCCTTCCCATCCTTCCCATCCTTCCCATCCTTCCCATCCTTCCCATCCTTCCCATCCTTCCCATCCTTCCCATCCTTCCCATCCTTCCCATCCTTCCCATCCTTCCCATCCTTCCCATCCCCCATCCTTCCCATCCTTCCCATCCTTCCCATCCTTCCCATCCTTCCCATCCTTCCCATCCTTCCCATCCTTCCCATCCTTCCCATCCTTCCCATCCTTCCCATCCTTCCCATCCTTCCCATCCTTCCCATCCTTCCCATCCTTCCCATCCTTCCCATCCTTCCCATCCTTCCCATCCTTCCCATCCTTCCCATCCTTCCCATCCTTCCCATCCTTCCCATCCTTCCCACCCTTCCCATCCTTCCCATCCTTCCCATCCTTCCCATCCTTCCCACCCTTCCCACCGCCCTGCCATTCCAGCAGTGCGTCAGACGCCTCCTCCCTCGTAGAGACCATCCTGTCCCGCCACGCACAGCCCACCTCCGCCGCAGCAGCAGCAGCAGGGGGGGAAGGCGCAGGTGTGGCGGCGGGGTCTCAGATAGAGGCGGTGCTGCCGGCCATAGAGCGGTGCTTCCACCGCTCCCAGTGCCCCACCGTGCCCCACGTGCTGGCAGCTTTGAGGGCGGAGGAGCAGAGCGCTGATAGCACAGGTGAGAGTCTCGGAGGCGGGTGGATGGTGGGGGAAGGGAAGGACATGGGTGGGGCGAAGACACAGGCCACGACATCTAATCTTGGGGCGCCGGACAAATTATCTCTCTGCTTTATCCACCCTGCTTCCCTCCCTCCCCATGAGCAGTGTCGCAGTGGGCCAGGGACTCCCTGCAGGCCATGGCAGCAGGAGCGCCCTTGAGCCTGGCAGTCACGCTCAAGCACTTCCATGCGCTCTCCACTCGCGCTGCTCATGCTGCCGCCACTGCCCCCAACCAGGCGCAGGCTGCGAAGCTGCTCCCTGTGAGTGCCACCGCCACTGCTGCGGCCTGTCTTGTGCTGTTGACTCGAAAGGTGCCTTTCGAGTCGACACAGAAGTTGGATGAGAAAGCTCCTCCCTCTCCTCCCTGTGTGTGTGCCGCCACTGCCGCGTGGGTCTCGGATATGTGAGATGCTTTTGGGGTCCCAAAAGCACGGACGGAGCGTGAGCACTCATGGGGATGTTGATGTGGTAGTGGAGAGTGGTGTATGTGCACGTGGTGGAATTTCATGTTTCTATGCCATGATGCCATCCTAGGGCCAGCATTCTTTATTCTAAGCCTTGATTGCCATGCCTTTCCTTCTGTGGGCCCTCTTCCTCTCCCCACCTTGCCCGACACCTGGTATCCTCTCACTCAGCATGTGCCTCTTCCCGTTGTCTCACCCATTGTCTACTCGGTGCGCAGATAGAGGATGTGATGCGCACAGAGTACCGCATGGCACTGCGCACATCTGTCAGACCCGACTTCCTGGAGGGCGTCCGTGCTGTGCTTATCGACAAGGACAAGGTGGGTCCATCCGTGCTTGTCTCACCCATTTGCTGTTTCTCAAAACACAGTAGCTTTTGAGTTACTCCATTCCCGGAGTCCAATGCAATACGATTCAAGCCCTATGTGGTCATTTCATGATATCGATTGCGTGCTCATGTTGTTGTGTGGTTGTAGAACCCGAAGTGGTCCCCTGCAACTCAGGAGGAGGTGGATGAATCTGAAGTGGAGGCTGCATTTGCTCCGTTCACTAACCCATCTGACGAACTTGCAGTTTGAGATGTTGACAATTTTCTATCATAATTGCACAATGATTAAACCTTTTGTCTCGTCCTGTAATGAAACTCAGTGATATTTTGTGTTATTTACTGCATTGTTCCTGAAACTAAGAATGTTTGTAGTGCGTAAATCCGATTCTGCGTGCCTAGTCAGAAAAAGATATCAGCCGCACTTTTTCCGCCTTGCGTCTGCGCTGTCTCCTGAAGGTTAGGAGATTGCAGCATGCCCTACGGGGTCAACGTTGGTTCGCTGTCCATTCATTGGATGATTATTCCTACATGGCTGCATCTCGTATCAGACACACCTCCCTGGACCACGTGGCATGCAGGTGTCTCCGTGCTTTACTCAACGAACCCGATTTCATTTCCCCCACAACTAACCTAACCACACCCATCAAATCTCCGAGCCAATGGCTCGAATGCGGTTCAGCAAGATGCTTCACGCATCAAACCCCCTGACCCACGCCCCCACAAGCCCTTGGAACCAAACCTCGGAACCCTAGGTGCTTTGGGTCAAGCCTTTCCTTCCGAGCCTTCCGAATCTAGGAGCACACATGTCCGCTTCCTTCGCTTTCGGGAGAGGGAGGCCCCCGTTTGCAAGCACGGACTTGTACATAGTTGCTCCTTGCACCTTCCATTTCTTTCTAACATCCTCGCCGTGTGTTGCTGCTGCTGCTCCTGCTGCTGCTCCTGCTGCCACCCCCGCCTCAAGCCATCACGCCTCATCACCGCCTACCTTCCGTCATCGTTCCATCCAACGCCTGCCTTCGCCCTCTCGCCGTTCCATTCGCCGCTTACCCCTTTCGCTCGGCTTGTTCAACCAGACCTTCCGTCCACAATGGCCATGTGGCTCCGCGCAGCGTCTCTGGCAGCACGTCGAAGCAGCAACTACGCCCGAGTTTTGACGGGAAGCCAAGCTGTCGCTCCTGCTCCGGCCCGCATTTTCCCGGCTCTTACCCGACAGGTTAGCTAGATTCTTACTTTTCAAATCTGATTTAATGTTCCTTGCATCTTCCGTTCCCTTGCAAAATTGTTTTCGTCCTTTGTCGTATTTCGTGGGACCATACGGTGCACTGTGTCGATGGGAACTTGGTTCTTTGTTTTACAGTGCACATTGAAAACATCGTATTGTGTCGCGTATGAACAAGTTCGAAGAAGGGCACTCACGTTTGGCTGATTAGAGGCAAAAGGGCAAATCAACACCCCACTGCATTACGAAACAGCTTAGCCATGTAAAAATGACTGACTTTTACACGTTTGCCACGCAGTGATTTCAATACCATGTATTCTTTCATTCCTTTGCTCCATGCAGTTCTCTCAAGTCGGGCATGGAAGTGGTGGCCGTGATGGCGGTGTTAACATCCGCGGCCCTCCCGAGACCCTGCCCTACAATGTGCGAGGATTGAATCACATCGCCATTGCAGTTCCCGACCTCTCTGCAGCCTCGGAGTTCTACCGCACCACTTTCGGCGCGCAGGTTTCCGAGCCCCATGTAAGATGTTTTGTCTTTAAAACATGTTCCGGCGCTCTTCCACACTTTCCGGTTCGTCCTCGGGATGCTGTGTCTTGCGGCTACATGCCACCAATCGCATCTCGGTGCCTCAGTGCTTGCTAACATGTTGAACCAATGTGGTGTTACTTGTTCTATTCCCCAGGATCTGCCTGAGCATGGAGTGCGCGTGGTCATTGCTCAAGTGAGCAACTGTACAGTGGAGCTCCTGCACCCGCTAGGCGAGAAGAGTCCCATTGCCAAGTTCCTCGAGAAGAACCCTAGAGGAGGAATGCACCACCTCTGCTTCACTGTACGATTCCCTGCCACAACCCTTTTTTCCCTTACCCGCATTCCTTTTCTCGTCCGCTCATTCATATCTCTCATCTCCTCCATATTCTTGCTGTTGTTAATGCTGCAGGTTGATGACATCGGTGCTGCCTCCAAGCACGTGGCGACGGAGGGTATTCGTGTTCTGGGTGATGGCAAGCCCAAGATTGGTGCTCATGGAAACCCTGTCCTGTTCCTGGATCCCCGTGACAACCTAGGCGTGCTATGCGAGTTCGAGCAGGTCTCTTGTGCTGAGCCGCACAAGGCATGAGCATCGTAGCACTTTGCTGAGCTTTGAATGCCACATTCAGCTGGTCCTTGAAGTGCGAATGTTATTTGCTACTTGGCTGGGATCAGGAGCTCCTGGCTCATTAGATCTGCCTAGTTGCATCTGAGTATTGTGCATTCCTAGAAAATACAAATTCTTGGCTTTGTATAAGCGGGGCTTCTGCCCACCGCAATTGAAACAATACTTGCATTCTGCTGTGCTACATAAAGCTAAGATCAAGGTAGTCTTCTGAAGAGCGCAACCTTCTAGCTCTGGATCCTTCAACATCACATACAGAAGGGAACCTGCCACGCCTATGGATTGCACGTAGGGCTTGGTGTGGATGAAGAGCTTCCTTGCGTCTGTTCTGAAAGATCAAAGAACAGGTGCATGGGCGACCACCACTCGTCAGGGTTTGACGACGCTGCTGGCACCCGCTGCTGGTACTTCCTCATCAGCTCGTCCCACTCACGAGCACGCGCACTGCAAGGAAAGGGGTGAGCATAGTATCGGTGTCGCCATTGAAGTGGATCATAACCAGTCAGGGCGTATTCCCGGCCTTGTGTCATCCCGGCTTCATGTCATCCGAAATTTGCGGTATCCAATCGAAAAAATCAAATTTCGAACCGCGTGTTTTCCGATTGGCTACCTTAATTCTCGGATGACACAAACACCGGATGACCCGAAGCTAGGAATACGCCCTCAGTCCTTAAATCCCAGTACCTTCCCAAAGCGCCTCGTCCTTTCATCATCCGGGCTAAGTTCCTGCCATCTAATCAAGCAACAGAACCACAGCAACGCTTACCTTGCAGTGTATTTCTGATAGTCCCTGGCAGCGTCAAAGTCATCAGGCGCCTCCGCGTACATGAACAGTCGGTTACCGTGCACGAAGATGCGCATGGTAGTGATGCCCATTGCCTGGATCGCCGAGAGCACCTGGACGCAGCCGACGAAAGGGAACACAATGTGGTAATATAGGAAATATTCGCAGCCATTTCTGGTCTAACGCATGTCACGCTCATATTGCAGGTTCGTCGGAAAATGGGACCTTGCCTCGGGCCATACGCGCTTGTGATACTCAATGTACTCAGCAATCAGCGCCGGGTCGTCCTTCAGCTCCAACGTCTGAGCAAAAGCCTTCATGCTGTCTATAATCGCGACTGGGCCTTCACGCAAATGATCTGTGTACCGTCAAGGTTGTGTAATCCTGTGGATTTGTGCTCAGGCTCCGGAGCCCAAAGCAGGAATGTGAGAGATCTCGATACTAGACCCAGAACGCTGGAGGTGGTCTGCTCCAGTCGTGGGTGTGTATCTGCAGGCCAATGAACGCGGAAGTCCTTGTTCCAAGCCATTCGCGATGTAAATATTCGGAATAGTATCGTTATAGTATCGTTCTGAGTGTACATCTTCGTTTACGGTCGCTCTATTCTTGTTAGTTTCGAAAGCCTATGTGAAGGAATTTGGGGTGTGAATTGTGAAAGGTGGGGCACACCTCACGCAATTTCGCCGTAATGATTTCGCGAACTTGTGTGCCAAAACTCCCGTGACCCGTTGGTCCACGTCAGCCTGATGTGGGCAGCGCTTACGTGTATTGGCCTCTTGACACACCAGCGACCCTGTGCCCTGCAACACGTCATGCCAATGCTAATCAGGGACAGGCTGGTAACCCAGGCTCGGCCTGTTTGGCTTGCACGAGAAGCGCAAATCTCAACCGACTTCAGTAATCATCTGGCAATCGCATTCGCCTGTGTGATCAAGTCAATCCCAAGCCAAACACCATAGCTGTTCAGCCCGTTTGCCGAACCAGCACCACGTTTTGACATTCCCAAGGGCCCGACCGCAGCACGATGTGGTGTGGAACATCACGAGCCTGATTGGTTTTGAAGCTCCCAGGCAAGGCTGCGGAGTAAATCCCGAGGCACAGAGTTTGGCGTGGTACGGATTAGGTGCGGCACACGCGCAGTACACCCAACCACCCTCTTCGACCGACGGCCAATCAAGTGCGATTCTCGCCTCTGCTAGCTTCTCCCCTCGCTGCTTGCTTGCCTGTCGGAAATAAGTTGATGCTACTGTAATTTTTGAGTTATATAAACATGGTGGACTGGCCTTAGATTCTAATGCGACAACCAACGTTCCCGCTTGAATCCCGCCGCTGCTTCCTCATTTCCTCCTGGTCTTAGGGGCTGCAGGCTGTCCTATCAGACAAGTCTCACCGATTATCGCTGACTCGTGAGCCTGCTGCCCGCGAATTGCGGTTGTGCTGGTGCCACTTTTAAGCCAGCTCTGCCGTTCGACACGAGCCGTGACTTATCCTTTTTCCTGCTCAACCGTTCGCCATCATGGTCATGGACGATCCCTCCCTGCGCGCGCTGACCGAGGCAACGGCCGGTGCTGTGGGTGGCCTGCTGAGCACCACCATCCTATACCCGCTTGACACGTGTAAAACGAGATTCCAAGCGGAGGCGGCTTCCGAAGGTCGAAAACGGTACAGGTGAGCAGGCAGGTAGACGTCAGCTGCTTCACGCTGTTCTCAATGTTCTCCTCGTGCTCCCTCCCGCAGCTCTGCGTGTTCCGCTCAGCGCCGTTCCCGGCCAAGCCTGCCAGATCACTCATTGGCGTCATTCTCTACGTTACGCCATGCACATTCCGCCTTTCCACCCGGATCCCCCCGTCGCTCCATCGTGTTTCCCTCCCCTTCTCCCCTCCCCACCCCCTTGGTGTACCCCTTCACACGCTCCCCCCCCCCTCCTCCCCCTCCCCCCCACCCCCCCTACGCACACTCCCCCCCCCCGCGCGCATCCGCGCAGCAACATCGCGGACGTGCTGCGCGAGGCGGTGGCGAGCGGCGACATATCCTCTTTATACGCGGGGCTGGCGACGAAGAACATGCAGTCCGTGCTCACGGGCTTCGTCTACTTCTACGCCTACTCCTTCTTCAAGAGCCGCTACCTCGCCTCCGCGCAACAGAAGAACCTCGGCCTGCTCGCCAATCTCGCCGTCGCCGCCTCCGCCGGGGCGTGCACCGCTGTCGTCACGCAGGTGCGTCGAGTCGGGGTTGTCGTCGTGCTGCTGCGATCATCCGATCCCTCTTTCCATCTCTTCCCCGTCCCTTTCACACAGTGTATGATCGCCTTTCTTGATCGAGTTTTCCCGGACGCGACCTTCTCATCTCCGCACATCCTCGTCTCGTCGCCGCTTCACCTCCTTACACTCCCTCTTCCCGACCCCATCCCTTCCGCCTCCCTTCTCTCTCCTCTTCCTTTACCCCCCCTCACTTTTTGATTCCAAAAGATCAACCCAGTTACCATCTCCCTGCTCTTTCCCCTCCCCCTTACACCCCCCCCCTTTCCCTCCCTCCCTCTCCCGCTCTCCGCGCGTGCACCAGCCGTGGGACACACTATCGGCGCGCATGCAGACGAGTCGGCCGGGCGAGAGCAAGGGGTTCGTGCAGATGCTGCGCGAGGGCGGGCTCGCGCACGCCTTCGACGGGCTGGGCGTGTCGCTGCTGCTCGTCTCCAACCCCGCCATCCAGGTACGCGCGTGCCACCAAGTGCTATCCAGGGGGATGGGGAGGGGGAGTGGGAGTGGGAGCGGGTGGGGTGCGGGAGCACGGGTGGGGGCGGCGGGAGTGGAAGCACAAGCGGTAGTGCAGAATCGAGGACGCTAGATCGAGGACATGCGAGTGACAGTTGACGGGAGGCATGCAATGCAAGCATGGTGAAGGTGGCTCGTGGATCAATGGCTGGCATGGAGAGGAGCTTCAGATGTCTGTCTGTATCCACTCTGATGTTTGATGGTGATGGCCGTTAACGTGGAAAAAGGCCAGGTTAGTTCATACACGACTGTTCCCTGCTGATTTCACGACCTGGCCCATGGCTCACCTTTCTAGAATGAAGTCAGACCCGCCAATCCTCTCCACCGCTCTCTACTTGTGTCCTCCGCCCGTCGCCCCTCCTCCTGTGTCTGTCCACGGCAGTACACCATGTTTGAGCAGATCAAGACGCGCTGGCTGCGCCGCAATGCCACACTCGCAGCGCAAGCGGACCGCTGTGGCCCACCGCCAGTGCTGTCGGCAGCAGCAGCGTTCATCATCGGCGCGCTGTCCAAGACCATCGCCACCATTGCCACATACCCTGCCATCAGGTACCCTCCCCTGCCTGCCTGTGCCCTTTTGTGCTCTCCTGTAACATCCCGTGCTCTCCATATCACGCCCATTGCCAGGATGAGGAAGTTTCTGACAAGCATGAGGATTCCTGAGGTAAGGCAAAGAATGTGCATGATGTGGAAGTGATGTTCGACGAGATATTCTCTGCTGTCTCATGCCACCAGCCAATGCTCGCTACGTGTGACTGTTCCATAATGCTGTAAGGGTAATGACATATCTATTCCTGCACTTCTCCTGCTTTGCTGTTAGCGGCCTGAGCCCTCATTCCGCTGGTTTCGTCTGTGCTCTCACCCGATTCCTATTCCCTCTGGCGTCAGGTGCAAGGTGATGATGCAGCGGGCGGAGACGGAGGAGGAGAAGCAGCGCAGGGCAGCAGGAGACCTCACGGCCGGCGCTCCAAAGTCCATGGCGCTGGTATGTCACTGCATTCCTCTTCCTGGATGTGTCACCTAATCCGCAAGTCATATGCAAGCTCACCCCTTCCATTTCTTGACCTCTATATTCCAGAACCTCACAAAAATGCAACGCAACACTCTCTCCCATCCAACAATCCCTCCCGTCTCGCCACGCATCCAGCATCAACTGGTCAATCACCCAATCCCCCCCTCCTCTCCGTTCATATCCATTCCACTCGACTTTCACTCCACCTCCCAGGCAATGCGGGTGATATGGCAGACGGAGGGACTGCCGGGGTTCTTCAAGGGCATACAGGCGCAGATCCTCAAGACAGTGCTGTCGTCCGCGCTCATGCTCATGATCAAGGAGCAGGTCTCCTTCACCTCGCGCTCCCTCGTCCTCGCCATCCACCGCGCCCTCTCCTCCCTCTCCTCCTCCACTGCAGCGCCACGTAAACCTGCTGCTGTTGTTGCGCTTCCAGCGGCTGTTAAGGCAGTTCCTGTTCAGGTTGTAGTGACCCGTGCACCGCCTGCTGCTGCTGCTCCGGTTTTGCATCATAGTCTCCCTGTGGTGTCTGCTCCAGCTCCTGTGGCTGCTGTTGCGGCAGCTGCAGCAGCAGCTACAGCAGGCGCGGGCAGAAGCTCTGCTCCGGTGCATTCTCACGTGTCTGCTGCTAAGCCAGCTGCTACTGCTGCTCACTTCACTACTGGCCACACTACCGGCCACTCCTCGGGTATTGTGTTTGCTCCCTCGGTGCTGCCACCCCCCACGTCCACACTCCACTTACATGCGGCGCCACCAATGCAAAGGCCTGGGGGGAGCAGAGCAGGAGGCGCGTTTGACAGATCAGTTGGCGATGTGGTTGAACTATAGCGTGGAAATAAGGTCACCCTGTGGAATGGGCGAGGTGGGGTGGGCGCAGGAGGACATAGCATTCAGGGTGTGGGGGCACGACTTAGCTCCCGCATGGGGGGCCGTGCCTGGTACCATGGCTCCGGTATCTCTTCTAGGCTTGTTTTGGTGGGCATCCATGATATAGAATATCCAGTATCCGTTTTTCTGTATTTGGGCCTCATCTGTTGTGCAGTATTGTCATTGCATCTGTTTTCAATTGGAAGATCTTTTATGAGGTATGAGCAGTCGTGTAGGAAGGAAAGAAGGGTCGCAATGGGATTGGCTGTTCACAAGCGGGAAGAGCAACACACACGAATGGTAGGCGCGATGCACGGCACGTGAGTCCTGGCAGTACACTTGTCAGCTGGACAATAGTACAGCAATATCGCCTGTCGATCCACGTCACACTGACTGACAAAGTATCAGCGGCCTCCTCGCTACGATCACCTTCGGTACAAAAAACCCGATACTGAATCTGCTTTTCATCCAATCCACGATATTAGATTCCGCATTCCACCTACTACCCCTCCACCCGTGCCAGCCTGGAGCGATATTCCTGCGTCTGGTCTGATATTTAGGCAGCCTTGTTGTTGCCTTGCAAGCGTCGTCGATTACCTTATGCACTGTGTTTACTCTTTGCATTGTTCCTCTCCTAACCGCCTCTCACAACTGACCGTATCTCCATCTGTCTGCTCCTTACTCCACCCACGTTACAATCCCGTGCGTCGCGTGTCACAATGGCGCTCCGGCCATCGCACCTGTCGACAGTATTCACCCAGTCGCCGTCCAAACCGATCGCTCAGGTGTCGCAGGTGTCGCACCCGCTTCCCTGCTGCTCCTGCCTTGCTACTACCTCTCTGCATGCGTCGTTCCATGGATCTACGCACGGGTCTTCACATGCTTCATCTTTCAGAGCCCCTTCAACATCCTCCTGCAAGAGCCTCCCCGCCTCGCTGTGCGCCACGTGGAGCGGGGAAACGTCGCAACGCCACGTCATCCGCGAGGCAGGCGTGCCGCGGAACCGTGCGCCAGCGAGACGCGTCAATGTGAGTTGCCCGTTTCCCCCCGGATCTAATGCTTCCGTTCCATGCTAGCTGCATTTCGTTTCATCTACGGGTACAAGCGAGAACGTTAGTGTGCGGTGCATAGTGTCTCATCCCCCCTCTCGTCTACGCGTACGATGAGTATAGAACTTGAAATCTCACAAGATTTCACACGGCCATGCGCCCGCTTCACATCCCACATTTATTACTCCCTCCCCCCACTCTCCCTCCATATCTCCCCCCGTACCGCCCGTCAGAGACCCACGTGGCGAGCACACGCCACACCCTCCTCCTCCTCCTCGTCCTCCTCCTCTTCCTCTCCCACCCCCTCCTCCTCCTCACCGTCCTCCTCCGCGCCTCTATCGCTGCAAGAGAGCGACGGCGAAAGCAACGACGACGTGTCGTCGCCGCGGTCCATAGCTGCGGGGCTGCACCGCCGCTACCGCGCCGTCGTTGACAGCGGCTACCGCGACCACCTCAATGTGACGTAGACGTTGACGTTAACGTTGACAGAGGGGAATGAGCCAAGGAACGTCAAGTGAAGGAAATAAGCCAAGCAACGAGTCAAACCGCTAAAGCAAACTGGACTACTGCGATCTTAGAGGGCAGTGACCTATCTAATTAACGGCTACCCCACTTCCACTGCACTTGCCTTCCTTTCGTCCTCCTCTTCATTCCATTCCATCACTCTCCCCGATCCTTCCCCGCTTCATCCCTTCTCCCCCTGTCCCCTGCGCGCCCCTCTCTCCGTGCAGGAGTTCGCGCGAGCAGCAGTGGCGGCGTATGCGGTGGGGTGCACGGAGGAGGGGCTACGGCGGGAGCTCACTGCACTGCTCTCCGTGCAGCCCCCTGGACCTCGCTCCACGGCAGCACCAACGGCCGGAGCAGCAGCAGGAATATTTGAAACAGCAACAGGAACGGAAGCAGCAGCAGTAACGGACACAGCAGCACTAACGGAAGCAGCAGCAGTAACGGACACAGCAGCACTAACGGAAGCAGCAGCAAGAGCTGCAGAGGAAACAGACTTGTCATTGTCGCCCCTGTCGTTTGCCTCGTCTGTGCCAGCCGCAGCAGTTCTTTCCGCAGAATCACGACACGAGGTAAGCTGTGTGTGAGACGAGCTGAAACGTGTGAGAGACAAAGAAAAAACACAAGTCTTTTAAGAGGCAGTTCAAGGTGGCGGTAAGACTAGTCAATGCTCGCATGCTCTGAACAACCGTAGTGGGAATGCGCTTTGTCACCCAAATTCCCTTTCCTCTGCTGCTTGCTTCTTTCTCACACCTGTCCCCTCCACATTTTTCGTCCACGCCTGCAGAAGCTCCTCCCTCCCCTTGTGCTCTATTCCTGCCCTCCCTCCCTTTCCATCCCCGTTTTCCCCCTTCATTCTCCCTTCCTGCTCCCTCCCCTTTTTCGCCTTCCCCCCCACCCCCGCTCCCCTATTTGCGTCGGTGCGTCAGGTGCGGGAGTGTGTGCTGTGGGTGGCGATAGTGTTTGTGACGATAGCGGTGCTGCCGCAGCCAGTGGTGACGCGCTGGGCCATGTCCAAGGCAGCGTCACCCGACTCGCTCGTGCACTGGAAGGGCTTCTGCTCCCTCATCGCCAACGCTTACTATACACAGGGCATGGCCTGGTCAGTGCTGCTGCTTGCTTGCTTGCTAGCTAGCCCCTTCTTTTGTCGATCCATCCTCTTTTTTGCTCTCTGCTCGCTCATTGCTAATGCATACTACAGGCAGGGCATGGCCTGGTGAGTGCTGCTGCTGTCGAGCACTTATCTTTCTCACATTTGCTGATCCGTCCTTTCCTCTGCTCTCTGCTCGCTCGCATGGCCTGGTCAATGCTGCTGCTCGATTCTCCACCTACACACCTTCGCCACCCCTACCTGGTGGTACCCCGTGAGACGGTTGCAGACGGAGCTGGCGGCCATCGCAAATGCCAAACCATGGCATAACGAGTCCTGTACGCTGCCAGTCACCCACTTCCCCTCCCCTACGCCCTCGCTTCCCCACCACCAGGTACTCAGTGGGGCGGCTGCAGATGGGGCAGATGGCAGTGGCAGGTGACCTTCGGATCGACTCAAATGCCACCTTTCCACATCCCTCACCTTCGTCCTCGCTCCCCCGCCACCAGGTACTCAGTGGGACGGCTGCAGATGGAGCAGATGACAGTGTAGGGCGTGGCGGATGTCCTTTGAGTCGAATCAGAAGCCACCTTCCCACATCCTTCCCTCCCCTACGCCCTCATAACCCACCAGGTAATTGATAGGTCGGCTGCAGATGGAGCAGATGGCAGTGGCAGGTGACCATCGGATCGACTCAAATGCCACCTTGTCACATCTTTCCATCCCCTGCGCCCTCGTAACGCACCAGGTACTCGGTGGGACGGCTGCAGATGGGGCAGATGGCAGTGTAGGGCGTGGCAGGTGTCCTTTGAGTCGAATCAGAAGCCACCTTCCCACATCCTTCCATTCCCCACGCCCTCACCCCCCACCACCAGGTACTCGGTAAATCGGCTGCAGATGGAGCAGATGGCAGTGGCGGGCGTGGCAAATGCCAAAGCAGGCGTTGCCATCCTGTCTTCTGTCACTCACATACCCCCATCCCACCTTCTCACCCACCCTCGCTCCCCCGCCACCAGGTACTCAGTGGGGCGGCTGCAGATGGAGCAGATGGCAGTGGCGGGAGTGGCGGAGCCAGCAGCGGTAGTGGCGGACAGGATGCGCCTCGTCTTCACCACCCTCGAGGTCGTGGACCCCCGCTGGGGCGGCCTACAAGACTTCCCCACGCTCTGATGTCATGTGATGTGACTCCCATCCTGCTGCCTGCCCTTGTGCCTGCTCCTGCCTCTGCTCCCACGCACCATGTCTCATGCCATGTCATGCCTTGCCATCCATGCTGTATGTCGTCTCGTCCCATGCTTGCTCAAGCATCCTAAGGATGCCACTGCCATGACCATAACTGCTCAGTGAACCTCTTGTTTCTTTGTGTTTTCCATTCATCTCTCCCATCTCGTTCATCCTGCAAAATCCCTCCCTCGCCACTGCATAACCAACTCGCTCCTCTCTGTCCGTCCATCCCTTTTCCCTGCGCCTCCCTCCCTCTGCACATTTCCCTGCAACTGCTCCCCATAAATGCCCCATCATCGCCACCTGCTGCAGCTCCTCACGCCTCACTGGCCCTCCAGATGACACCCTCACACCCTCAAGTCTGTGCTACCAGGCCGGCGTGTGTTCTCCTACCGAGTGTGAAAAGCCTGCTGCTTGTGTGCACCAGACTGGCTGTTGCTGGGCTCCAAGGGATGCTGGCTGGATCCTTGTAGATATGACTTGCCCATGATTGGAGGCGGACAACGTGTTGAGATTGTATGGAATGTCTATACTTGGTGGTAAAGTCTATACTGGAAAAGAAAAAGTGATGACAGTTTGCTTCATTCAGAATAATGCAGTATCCATTCACTAGCAATAACAATGATCATATGTAATTTTATCAGATCGATTTGAACTCTAATATATTGAGATTAGTTTATGAAAAGTGTAGGCGTCTGCTTAGGCAGAGTGTGTTTCAAACGAGAGCAAGTACACCACCGATCATAGAAGGGTGCATCTAGGAGCTTGTGGAATGTACTAGGCGTGGGGGATGCTTCCGCGGGATCGGTATAAAAGGGCTGTTTAGTCATACGCAACCCTTGTTCGTACCGTCGGCTTCATTCATGCGTCATACATTTCTTCATTCGGCACTTGCACGCTTCAGCTTTCCCTAATACGCTGATAAAAGCGCCATCGTTCCGTGTTAGCTCCGCGCACTCGACTTAATAGATTTTTCCGCCCTAGATTCCGCGATGACGGACGTTTCAACGGATCGACCAGCGGACACGTCTACGCCGTCGCAAGAGCTCCTGCTCGACGGGCTTTCGCTCCCCGCTCTCTTCGACAAGGCTTACGATGTGCACTCTAGAGCCGATTCGGAGACAGTTCCACCGGTATGCTCATGCACTTCCACTGCTTTCGAAGCTGCTTTTATTTACCAATCATCAGTCATCGTTTTCACAATAGTCCGCTTTTTTTTCTCTTCTTCTTCGTATCCTCTTGCTTAACTGGAAAGTGTTCTGTGGTCGTTCTTCCTCCGACCGTCCTCGACGCCGTTGTTTACGCGGCGACAGGAGGAATTGGAGCTGGCGATAAAGTACCTGGCGGAATGCACGTCGCGCATCCGGCATCTGGCGCTCTTCTCGTCCAACGAGGAGATCGACGACGTCGCCACTGGAGACCTTAAATACCTCCTGGTACGGCTTATATCTTCAGTTATGAATTGAGTACACCTCTCGCATAAAATATCTTGATCTGCTGGAGGTTATGCGATTGATTAGATTGACTGTGGCAAGTGAAGTGAATTTCGATGCAGCGCTCATTATTAGAGTTTCCACGTGTTCGTCTCTCCTCCTTCCTCTTATTCCGCATTCCCGTCCGTCCTCTCTCCCCGCTCCCCCAGGTGCCATGGCTGCACGCGGATCTACTGCAGCGCGTCCCAGCATTTCCCGCCGCACCTGCGCCATCCTCAGCCGCCGCCGCCGCCGCTGCTCCTGCCAGCCCCGGTTCTTCCACCATGCGCCCCTCCGCATCCCCAGTCGCCATCGCCTCTGCACGCACCGCCGCTCTCCGCACCTCGCTTCAATACCTTGCTGTCAGTTCGCCCTACCACTCGCCACCATCCCTTTCGTTCTGCCCTGCCACTCTCCACTTCCCCTCCTTGTCAGTTCTCCGTTACTGTCTCCCGTTCCCTTGCCTCTCTCCGCACTCCCCGTTCACCTGCCTGCACTCGGGCTCTTGCTTACGCTGCTACTCCTCCCCCTCTCTCTTCTCCCTCCCCATCCTCCTCCCCCCCTCCTCCGCCCCCCTCTTCCCCTCTTGGTATCATCCCGGGGCATGGGCACACGGGCAGTCATTTCTGGACTCCATGGATCGTCTCCGCGTGCCACTAGAGGCAGAGCGCTCGGATGTGGTGCGCGCACACGCGCTCGCAGCCTCCACAGCAAGTGGCAGTGGGAATGGGAGTGGGAATGGTTCAGCCTCAGAGGTGAAGGACCTGGATGCTACTGCCAAGCGAGCACTCAAGGTAACCTCCCTTCTATCATATTCTCCTCTCCTCAGTTCCCCTCCTATCTTCTAGTTTCTGTTTTTTTCCTGCTCCCTCGCCCGCTCTTTCCCACAATTAATCCTTCCTTCTGCACCCGCCCTCTCCCCCCTTCCCTGCTGCTCCTCCCACTCCCCCCAACCTCCCCTCCCGACAGTGCTCGCTCCGTCCCTCTCTCCGCCATTAACCTATCTGTCCCCCCATGCATCCCTACCCCCCCCTCAACCCACTCCCCCCTTCTCCCCCCCCCCGGTGCGAGCAGGTGCAGCGGTTCAAGCGCGAGCGCGAGCTGAAGGGGCGGCTGGAGGCCATTCGGCGGCGCAGGGCGGAGCGGCAGCAGCGCGTGCGCAAGGCACGCCCGGGGGCCGGCGCACAGGCAGACGCAGGGGAGGATGCCAGTGCTGATGACGCTGCTGGTGCGGGCAGTGGCCTGGAGGATGACGATGATGATGAGGAGGTTGATGACAGGGAGGTGAGCATGCAGGAGAAAGTGTGTTCCGTGTGTTGGCATGCATGAGTTTTGTTCTTGATCTGTATTCTGTTTCAGGGTCTACCTCTTCTCATGTTCATGCACCACTTGAACTGCCTTTTATCTCCAACCCACTCCGTCCACCTGTGTCCCTGTACTGCATGCAGGCATGGATGTTGGCGCTGCGGCTTGCCATTGTCAAGGTGCGTTGCCCAGTGAAGAGCACTGCACGGGTTCTCGCTGTCTGGGGGGCTTTTCCCGAAATTTAGCAATCACATTTTTGCAGCTTCTTGCTTCGGCATATTAAAAATCTGCGCTTTCTGTCATGCACTGTGCTGCATGTTCACCACGTCCTCTCACTGCGTCTGGCCTCCATGCTTGTGTGCTACAGGCGTTGGATCTCGTGGACTCACTTGCTCGTGAGCGACAGATGCTGCATGAGGCAGCTTCTGCTGATTACAAATTCCAGGTCAGTGTAGAGTCGAGAATCAAGCCTCTCCTCTCCTCTCCTCTCTCATGCTAGTGCTAATTGGTTTTCCTTGCAACCCTGCATGCACCAACTCTTGTTGACCATTTCCAAGTGAATTTTCCCTTAGAGATTTTTCGACGTCAGAGTATCCATTCTCTCATGTTCCTCTGCTTGTTAACAGCTTCCTGCTATCTCCGTTCTCTCCCCAACCCCTACCTCTCCTCTCCTGCTTCACCCACCCAGTCGGACCGCTCTGGAACAACCGCCAATCCCTTTGCACCGGAGGCACTGGACGATCGCTTGCGCAAGAGGGAGGGCTCCCACCGCGCAGCCGCTGCTGCAGCCGCCGCCGCCGCTGCAGGCGGCAGGCAACTAGTCCCCCCTCAAGCCATCGCCTGCGCCACTCTCGCCCAGGACGTAATCGAAGGCCGTGTGCCCCGTGAGGAGATAGCCAATCACCGCCACACCTCTCCCATGGTCTTCGGCCCGATGAGTCTCATGAGTGCGGCTGCTAAAGCCGGGCCGGGGAGTGGGAGTGTGCTGGGGGGGGTCACTGGGAGTATGTCTGGTAGTGGGTCTGCTGCTGCTCGGGACCCGCTGGCTTCGCTGCGGGTGTTCCAGCCGAGCCATAGCGTTGCGAGGATGAGTATTGAGGAGGCGGGGGAGAGGGAGATGGCGATGATGGCTGCTTGGAAGGAGCGGACGCGCAAGGAGATGGAGGAGCAGGGCATGATTGTGAGGGAGGATGATGGGACGGGGCGGGGGAAGGGGAAGGGAGGAGAAGGGGAGGATGAGGTGGATGAGGAGGAGGAGGAGAGGCGGATGGGCGGGAGGTATTTGGATGATGAGGAGGATGTGGAGAAGGCACGGAAGTGGGATGATTACACTGATGACCATCGGCGTGGGTGGGGAAATAGCAAGCTCACTCCTTGTGGCTGAGTTTCTTTCTGTTTTGGGAAATTGTCGTTCTGTTCTTGGGATTGATTGGGTTTTTTGCAGTGGTGGTTTTCTCTGTTCTGTACTTGACTAATCAAGTGGTGAGAAGTATTGCTTATCAGTAATTGTTTTAATCAACTATCGATACTAGAAACCTCTGTAGGGACATTATTTATTCGAAGAATTGCGTTAGATTCAGTGTCGTGGTTCGTGCGTTGTATGTTAGTGGCTCGCAGGACGCGCGCAATAGTAGCTACCACACTTCGTTCGAGGACCTCTCGCACGAATCGCCAGATAGTCGACTCGCCGAGCTGACGGCGACAGATCGTTCACCCCTTGACCCTAGAGATTATCGCCCTTTAGCACTTACGTCCCCCCATTCTGACGCCGCCTTCGTGACGCTGCGCGCCTGGCACGGCCTGACGTGGATCCAGGCGTAAACAGAGAAGCCCTTACGCCTTGATCGGACGGCTGTGATTAGCGCGCCCGCCTGTACGACAAAATGTACAGCTCCGGCGGGTAAGTCTAAGGAGTTAAGAACAGGTCCATGGCGCCATGCGGCCTGTGCGACCAACGTCCGTTACACGCTCGTTGCGCTGCGCTTACTACTGTCAATCGCGATCAATTAATGTCTCCTTCTTCCTTCGTCTCAGTGTCGTCCTATCACGCCTTTCACCCGATGCTTCCCAACCCGCTCGTCCGCCCAAACCCCTTCCCCGCGCCGCAAACCCTAACCCTGCTACCCTCTTATCCGCCTCTCCCCGCCCGATCCGCGCAGGCCCGGGGGAGCGGGCATGATGATGGGCATGGGCGGAGGCATGGGGGGGGGCATGGGCGGAGGCATGGGGGGCGCCATGGGATACCCAGGCGGCGGCGGGATGCCGCGGGGGGGTCCGGGCGGGGGGGGAATGCACATGGGCGGCGGCGGCGGGGGCGGCGGTCCGCGCGCGCTGCCGGTGGTGAAGCTGCGCGGGCTGCCGTTCAGCTGCGAGGAGGGCGACGTGGCGGAGTTCTTCGCGGGCTTAGACATCGTCGACGTGCTCTTCCTGCGCCGCGACTCTAAGTTCTCCGGCGAGGCGCTCGTCGTCTTCGCCAACGCCATCCAGGCCGAGCTCTCGCTGCAGGTCCGCGGGGGTGGCGGGGTAGCAGGGGCCGGGGATCGCGGGTAGCGGGGGGGCGGGTAGTAGTCAGGTCTCGTCGTCATGGGGAAGAATATCTTTGCAAGGGGAAGATTCTCAATCCGCGCATCGCATACCTCTCTTCCCCCTCTTCCCGCGCATCCCCCGCTTCCCGCGCGTCCCCCGCTTTCCCGCGCGTCCCGCGCAGCGCAACCGCATGAGCATGGGGCGGCGGTACGTGGAGATCTTCCGGTGCAAGCGCGCCGACTACTACAACGCTGTTGCCAACGAGGTCGCGCAGGACGGCGGCCAGTACAAGGGGCCAGGTGCGCTGGGGGGTGCGCTGGGGGGTGCGCTGGGGGGTGCGCTGGGGGCTGCGCTGGGGGCTGCGCTGCATGGGGGAATGTGTGCGCTGGGGGCGCGCAGCAGCAATGCATTGGGGGGGGGGTGCGCGCGGAGTGCGGGGTTGCACGCATGTGTGCGCAGCACCGCTTGGGAGGAGATGCAGGTCTGGGGGGTGAGTGCAGTTGTAGAGGGGAAGTGCGCATGGAAGCAATGAGTCTTTTGAACCGGCACGATTCGTTACCTGCTGTCTTTCAACCTCCTCCCTCAACCTCCTCTCTCCCTGCTCTCTCATTTACGCAACGCTCTCGTCCCACTCACCTTCCCTTCTCTCCTCTCCCCTCCTAATCCCCTCCATGCCCCCTCTCCCCCTCACTCCCCCCTTCCCCCACTCTCCCCTCCCGCGCACGTCCCTCCCCGCTCCCCCTGCAGAAACACAAGGGCATCAAGGGGCGGGGCGCATGGGGGGGGGAAGGGGGTACCGCGCGTATGGGGAGGGGGGGGGCGGGGGCATGGACGGGCATCCAGCAGTGGAGCACACAGGCGTGCTCAAACTGAGAGGCATTCCTTACTCCGCCACTAAACAGGTGCTGGGGGGGAATGAATCACAACTGTTGTTTCGCTGTAAGGTTGTTATATGGACGGGCATCCAGCAGTGGAACACACTGGCGTGCTCATACTGCGGGGCATCCCCTACTCTGCTACCAAACAGGTGCGGGTGGGACAAGTGATAAGTGATTCTTAACTGGAAGGTTATAATTGGGCATGGATGGGGAAGCAGGAGGTTGTGGAAGTGGGTAGAGGGGAAAAAGGGTTTAGAGAATTGGGTGGTGAGGGCTAAGGCTAGGAATGCTGCCTGCTCTGCGTGTGTGTGCTCCTCACCTCTCCCCTCCTAAAACCTTAGGCCTCCCCTCCTTTTCTTCCCTCCCCTTTCCCTTGCGTATCTTTCTCTACTATTGTCCTCTCCTCCCTCACTCGCACCCCTCCCGTCCCTCCCTTTTCTCTCCCCATCTCTCTCCCCCCCCCTTTCCCGTCCCCCTCCCCCCCATCAGGACATAGTGGCGTTCTTCGACGGCTTCCCTCTCTCCGATTCCAGTGTGCACATAGTCGTGGCTGCGGACGGCCGCAGCACAGGAGAGGCCTCTGCCTTTCCTCTCCCCTGCCCCTTCCCCTACCCCCTTCCTCAATCTCTCCCCTCCTCCCCTCCCCCCCCTCCCCCCTCCCCCTCCCCCCCATCAGGACATAGTGGCGTTCTTCGACGGCTTCCCTCTCTCCGAGGCCAGTGTGCACATAGTCGTGGCTGCGGACGGTCGCAGCACAGGAGAGGCCTTTGCGGAGTTTGCCTCCCCGGCCGATGCAGCAGCAGCCATGGGGCGAGACCACTCGCGCATGGGCACACGCTACGTGGAGCTCTTTGCTTCCTCGCGGGAAGAGGCCGCTCGAGGCGTGGCCAAGGCTAAGTGAGCGGCTGGGAGCTGCTGGGGCCTGCTGGGAGGGGCTGGTGCTAGGGGTGCATGGGCATGGGCATGGGCACACGCTACGTGGAGCTCTTTGCTTCCTCGCGGGAAGAGTCGGGCAGGGGCGTGGCCAAGGCCAAGGGAGCCATGTTCTCTGAGTGGCCGAGGCCAAGTGAAGGGCTGGCAGCTGATGGAATGGGAGCTGCAGAGGGGAGCTGGAATGCAGATGGAAGCTGCTTTCAGTGGGCTGCTGGGGGGTTGCAGTGGCTTTGGGTGCGTGCGCATGGGCACGTGTGCATGGGCACGTGCGTGTGGAGGTCTGTCCTTCGTCACGCGCGAATTCGGGGTGAAGGGCGTGGCTTGCTCAGGCAAGGGAGTGCCTGTGGGCTTCTGGGAGTGCCTGTTGCAGATGACAGTTGGGCGGTTAGGTGTGAGGGGTTGGGGGTTATGGATGTTGGGTTGCTGGTGGCACAGCGGGTGTGTGGGTGGGATAGGGTGGGAGGGAATTGGGTTTAGGAAGGAGGGTCGCACTGAGAATAAGGGACACTAAGTCCCCTAGAGAGGGACACAGAGGAAAGTTTTGAGGCTTCTCAAAACCATGGGACGCCTGTGTGCTGATGGTTGTTGATAGGGTCAAGGGAAGGGATGGAAAAGTGTGATGGTGATGGTTCCCTAGGGAACTGGGGTAGAAAGTGTGAGCTCCTGGAGGAGGAGCGAGCAACGCTGCTCACTGGAGGGAGGAGCTACACTCACCTTGAAGAGCAGGAAACTCATATGGAGATGCTCTTGGGGAGTCTTTTGTGTAGTAGGTGGAAGTAGTGCAGCTTTTGGTACATGTTGTGGCATGATGGCACATACACTAGTGCCTGAGCCAAGCGAGCTGTGCAATCTCCTTTCTCAGGCAGCTGTGAGCTACACCACATACCGTACGTAAGGAAACTTCTGGCAGTACCTACAAGGCATGCTTCACCGTCCCCTTTCTCATTCCAAACAGAGAAAAAAAAAACAAGTCGTTGCAAGCCCATACAATGATGTACCCATGTACCCAGACTACAATACAGATAATACACAAAAACAGTACAACAGAGAGAGGCCCCTGTAGCACAGGGGCAACAGTGGTTGCTGGCTCAACGAAGGTGTATGTGAAGATATGAAGCACCTCTGGTCCCCCAACCCAACCTAGCAACACAACCCACCATGCTGCACGCATCCTCCTACATGCCACGCACGCACGTGAGTGAACTAGTGTGCGTGTGCACGCACGCACACATGAGAGCAATAGGGAGAGAGAAAGGGAAAGCGAGAGAGGCGACTTTGAAGGAGCCTCAGAAGAGGTGCAGGAAGGATTGAGAGCAGGAAAGGAGGAGGTGCAGCAATCAGCAGATGAGGCGAGGCGAGGCGAGGCATAGGAGTGGGTGCAGGTGGGGCCTGTGAGACGTGTCGTGGCACAGGTCAGCATATGAGGCGGAAGGCGTAGGTGGTGGAGAAGGTGGGGTCGAAGACTTTAGCTGGCAGGTTGCCCTCATCGTCCCTCTGACTCGCACACGCCTGGCTGCTGAAGAGCTTACAGCGACCTGGTGAAGAGGAGAGGGGGGGAGGGGGGAAGGTGGGGGGGGGAGAAAGGAGAGAGGAAAGTTTGGGAAGAGAGGGAGCAACGAGGAGAATGGGGGAGCAAAAAGGTGAACGAGTGAGGGAGGAGTGGGGTAGCGAGGGTGTTGAGTGACAGACAGCGGGCCTGATGGGGTAGAGGCGAGAGCGAGGATGGGATGACAGACACACCCACGCAGGATGGGATGGCATGGATGCAAGGAGCGAGAGGAGAGAAGAACGAGGAGAGAGGAGAGAGGGAACAAAGACACAGGCATGAAGAGAGAGAGTTCGGTGGCTGTGTAATGGATAACAAGGGAGAAGTTGTGCATGAAGAATGAAGCGGTAAGCGGGTTGGGCGGTAAGCATGAAGCAGTACAGTTCTGGCCGACAATGATTCATCCCCCCCCCCCCCCCTCTCCCTCTCCCCCCTCCTCCCCCCTCTTATCTCAGACCCCTCCCACTCGCCCCTGAACACCCCACCTTCCGCCCCCAACCCTCCCGCGTCTGACTCAAACTTAAAGACGTCTTTAAAGACGTCTGAACTCACCGGAGTCTGTAGTCGCGTCGCTCTGCTCCCACGACCAGTACGTGACGTCGTACATGAACTGCGACGCGGCGTACTCGCAGCACTCGCCGATGCTCTTCAGCCCCGCGTCTTCCACCAGCGTCGGCCCCGTCGCCTGCGAGTAGTGCTCGTACAGCTTCCCGCGAAACGCGCCGGGAAACGCGGGCCCATTCGCATCCGTGATATCCGGAAGATCGACGGCGGACGGGCAGGCAGGCAGGCACGGGAACGCGGGGCAAGTCGTGTTGTAACGCTTCACGCTCCCGCCGCTTTTGCCGCTGCTGTCCCCGCTGCTGGTCGAATCGGTCCCTGTGAGAGGTTCACCGGCAGACGCGCTGCCGGCGCCGGTGGAGCTGGAGCTCTTAGCGAGGCAGCGCTTAAAGGAGACAACGCCGCTACTGATGTCGGACTGCCACTTGTTCAGCTTCGCGAGGGACTTCTGCGACGAGCACTGGTCCGCGCCGAACAGACTGCAAATTCCTGCGGCAGCCATGGCCGCATGAGACGGCGGGAAAAGCGGTGGAAATGGCGAAAGGGGTAGCGGAGGAAGGCGGGAAAAGAGGTACGGAACGGGGGTAGAAAGGGGTGGGGGTAGGTTTTCCGACGGGAATGACTGTAAGGCGTGCGGTGAGGGGCCATAGACAGATAGAAAATACGGAGGTGCGGGTGGAAAGGAGGCGGAGAGGGGCGGCTGGACAATGGGGGAAGGTCGTGAGGTCGATTAAAGGCGGGGAGGCGGAAGGCAGGAGGCGGATGGCAGAGTGGGAGAGGGGGAAACAAGAGGGAGGGGAAGGAGGGGCAAGGGAAGGAATGGGGGTGGCGCGATGGGAGGGAAGGGAGGGGAGAAGGGAAAAGGAGAGGGGGGGGAGGGGAGGGATGTTGACGCTATGCGTGATTTACTACCTGTGTTACTGTTGCGGCTCTTCTTCCACGTCCAGTACGCGCAATCGTCGCGATCGTTGCACGACACGCAGCACCGGTTGATCGTCACCGCCGCCGTCTTCTGCGACGGGTTCAGCAGCGTCGCAGTGGCCTTCTTGCTGCTGAGCGACGCGTGTGCGACGAAACTGCCCTTGAGCACTCCCAGCAGCTCCGAGCTTTTCGGCTGGAACACAGCCGAGGAGGATGTGGAGGAGGAAACGACGGAGTCGGACGGGCAAACGGGGCAATCGTTGATCTTGCTAGGGCATGACTTGGACGGGCCTGCGTGCGCGCCAACAGCCAAGAGCAGCAGACACGCGAGCGCGGCTCGCAGGACAGGAACCGGCGCCATTCCTCGCGGCGTGAGGGAGAAGACGAAGAGGGTGCGGAACCAGACGTGATGCGAGAGAGGGAGGTATAGGGTACTTTGCGGAGAGTTTGAGAGGATGAGAGTGGGGAGGGAAGGAGTACGATACAGACAATAGTACAAGACGACTACTCGAGCATTTTCGGCTATTGCGAAGGACGGCAGCGCGGGGGAACGGAGAAAAGGAGCTAACGAGGAGAATATGCACTGGAGGACAAGACCAGGTGGGTCTGAGGGAAGGCAGAACTGGCGAGCATTTTTTGTGGTCCTGCGACTGCGACTCTGCACTCTCCACTAGTGCTTCAGGGGTGTGTTGTGTCGTCGTGAAGCCGCAGGTGTGGTGGTGAAAGAGACATAGGAACAGCAGCGGCAAGCAGGCAGGTATTGAGCCTAAGGGAGTACGGGGCGCAGCAGAAGTACAGTGCAGGAGCTGGGATTGCGGGGGAGGGGAGGGAGGGGGTGGAACAGAACAAAACAGAAGCAGCGCGAGGTGGACTTTGAGGTTGGATTGGGCGGGAAATGGATGCCTTTTGCGGATAATGCGTTCCCCCATTCGGCCGCGCGGAAGGGATGTACGATTATGCGGGGGTGGGGGAACGAAGAGGAGGGGATGCGTGTGGGGGGAGAAAGTTTTTCTTGCTACCGAGTACCCACAATCCATAACCGCGCAGCATCGTATTGAAACGTACAAACGCGCTTGAAGTCCCCAAGAATTCAGTTTTGAAGCACCGAAATATGATCACAATCCCTGTGCCAAGGCAACCTCTGAGTTTCGTCACGTCTGCTGCGACAGTCGCCAGCACGCACTTGCCCGCTTTTGTAGCTGGCTTCGCTGCCCTCACCCGTCCGCGATAATCCGCGCAGGCCCCAGCTGTGTTTGGCGCACTACTGCGCCCAAAGACACTGTAACCCCCACAACATTCTTTGGAAAACAGGTCCGTTAGGAGCCTGAAAGGTTCATTCGACTGCTGGAGGAAACCCTCCCGCTTGCTGGAGGGTTGGCCCTCGGGAATTGCTGACCGGGGCAAAAAAAAACCCCATCGCGACCGCATGCCATTCGGGAGCCTCAACCCTAAAATTTTAGGGTTGAGGCTCCCGAATGGCATGCGGTCGCGATGGGGTTTAGTTTTTTTGCCCGCGGTCAGCTTTCCTCCAACACGAATGCTCCAACACGGGGAGTTGGAGGAAGAGTTTCCTCCAGCACCCGTAGGAACTAACCAAAATAACTTAGCTGACGTGTTTTGCGTTCATTGGATTTAGCCACCAAACCTAGTCATCAGCTGCTTGGGGGCACGGAAAACTGTTTCAGGGCGTGTGTCGTGGAGGAATATAATCACGCGACGCGCAGATTGTGGGCTCTCTGTTGTCAGGTGCCCAAATGGCTCAGGTGTTCGAAATAACAGGCGGTCTTGTAATTGAAACTCATGGTGCTTCCTGCAACAACAAATGAATCCTACAGAACAGTTCCACTTTTCGAGACTGCGTATATCTAGGTTTACACAAAGCGAACAAACTCACTTTCTCCGATCTGAAGCTTCTCCAACACATCAACCTCTAGATGGACCCATGGTAAGAAAATCATGAATATGATTTACAATATCTACACATTATCAGGAAAAAATTCACGATACAGCCACTGCTGCAGCATCTGCTCCTTCTCTGCTTGCTGCCCTGCCTTCTGTTTCTTTTGTCGCCGCCTCGCACTTCTACTCTTTCCCCCATCAGCATCAGAAGCACTGGCACCAGCCCCAACATCAAAATCGTTGTCAAGAGCATCAGAGACAGCACGGGAGAAGCCTGAGCCAGCAATACCAGTTGTGGATTGTGCCGTGTGTGGTTGGCTGACCACATGACGGGGTATGTGAGAGAGAGCAGGGGCTGACTGGGAACTCGAGGAGAAAGGGACGTGCGAAGAGGATGGACCGCCAAGGCCAACCTTGTCGAATTTGAGCGACGGGGGGACTGGATCGAGTCGACCCTGTGGAATTAGATGATATGAGAGACGAACACACAACCAGGACGGTGTGTGGCGGAAGCTGAGAGGTGCAAGATAGAACAACAGGACCGGTACCCAAGAGCAAGCGGTGTTCTTCTACCTGCACGTTGTTTGATCAACCCCACCCAAAGCCTTCCCTTCCTCCCTCTCCCTCCCCCCCTCCCCTCCCGTACCTCCCTCCCTTTCTCCGTCCACCACTATTTCTCCCCCCCACACGCACATGCAGATGCTCACCAATCACCGCCAACCTCCAGTGAACGTACCTGTTCAGCAACTCCCAGCCCGCGGCCCTCATGCCAGCCAGCCTTTTGAAGCAGCTGCAGAGGCGACAGGACAAGGCACACAAGGGATGAAGGGAAGCACACAACAATGATGGCGATACAGGCGGACACGGCCAAGAGACGAGCATGCGAGGAGCTGTGCGATGGTAAACATGGCAATGCTTGCGGTTCAAGTGCGAGTGACTTGATGCATCACAAAAGGTACTGAAGCAGAGGAAAAGACCGGGCATCCCCAGCCACAGTGCACCCACCCACACACCTGATACCCTATGTTGGAAGGGGGAATCTCAGCTCCCACCCGCTTGTTTTGAACGCCGCTCCTTCCTCCACCTCCCAGCTGCTTCCCCTCCCTCCCTTTTCCCCGCCTTTTCTCCCCCCTCGGCGCCTCAATGTTCCCCAACAGGGCCGCGATCCCTAGGTCCTCTGCTCCCTTACCTCCTCCTCCTCCTCCTGCCCACCCGCCACCATCCCCACCGCTTGTCTCCCCTTCCCTCCATGCCCAGGACCCAATTCCCCCTCCCGACCCGCCGCCAGAAGGTACCGGGCGCGCCCCGCCGTCGTCTCTCGACCCGAATCCCAACCCTACAGTAACCTCTCCGTTTCCTGCATCCCCGCTAGGATTCGCTGCATCTCGTTCCGCTGCCTCCCCGAGTCTGGTTTGGAACCAGGAAAGGGGCGAGGAAGAGGAATCTGCCTGACTGCACGGTTGAGCCAGAGATTATAGCCTAATGGAAACGATTGGAGAGAAAAAAACGGCATCCGAAAAGGGACGAGTGGGGAGAGCGAGCAGAGATTGCATGGTTGCATGGTTCAGCCAGGGATGGTTGAATTAGCAATCTCAAACAACAGACGAAACAACTGAAGCACCGATTATGCCGCAAGCGCAAGGAGAGGCGAACAAACCGAGAGCGTTTCATTGGAGGCGGTCCGAGGCACTCTCAAAGAAAGCTATTGGCGACATGGTGTTCTCGCAAGTTCCGCAGCACTCCAATAATCGGCCTGAGCTATGGGTGGAATTACGTATCTATGTTACGAGTGCAATTGAGGGAGCGAACGAAGATTGCACTATCGAAGCAAGAGTACAATGAGCGAAGGCATGAGCGAAGGATTATATAGCGAAACTACAGTGGTAACGGTAATGTGTGAAAATGGGGTGCGCGACGGGCCTAGCGCCGTGGTTGGGAATTGTCGAGGCGAAGGTCCGGAGCGCGGGTTACCAACCGAGCCGTGAGGTTGGGTCGCGTCGTGAACAGTGGCGGGAACAGTACCGAGGCGAGTGTCGCGAGTGGTAACGGATTACTGTTGGGTGCTGTTGGCGGGAACAGTGCTGTACGCGCTGAGCAGGGACGCGAAGTAAGGAAAAGGAATTTTCCTTACACTACCCCCCCCCCTAAGGAGGTCCTCCTTACGAGAGCGCGTGTACATCCCGGAAATTGCGGCTTCGCAGGTACTCGGTGAGGACAGGGTGATTCTCAATTCTGTCCAGGGGAACCCAGTTGTCCTCCGTGGGCGTGCGATCTTTCCAGCGGATCAGGAATTCGATTCTGCGGGCTCCCCGTGGGTCACGTACTCGATGGCTTAGGATTTTCTCAGGCGTGATGATTGGCTCCGTTGGTGGTCGTGTCATGCTGGCTGGGCGGTTGCGAGGCAGTTGGCTGGTGGATGGCACGTATGGGCGGAGCAGGCTTACGTGGAACGAAGGGCTGACGTACCAGTCAGCAGGGAGGAGGAGGTGGGCGGTGACAGGTGTGATCATGTGGCCGATGCGAAATGGCCCACAGTATCGGGGGCGGAGTTTCGGGGTGACGGGTAGGCGGAGGTTGTGGGTGTCGAGTAAAACTAGGTCGTCGGGCTGGTAAGTGACGGGACGGCGGTGTCTGTCGGCGTTACGCTTAGCGATGACGTTTGATTTTTTTATGGCTTCTGCTGCTCGGGTCCGGGCTTCCTGTAATATTTCGGCGAACCGTTGTGCACGTGGAACGGGGTTGTCGGGATTCGGGGTCATGGGTACTGTGGGGTCTTGTCCGTAGTTCAGGTAAAAGGGTGACTGTTGGGTGGTGGCGGATGGCGAATTGTTGTAGGCGAATTCGATGAGTGGCAGTTGCTGTTCCCAGGTGGTTGGATCGTCACACGTGGCTCGGATGAGTTGCTCCATGGTCTGATTGGTCCGTTCTGTCTGTCCGTCAGTTTCGGGGTGGTATGATGAGCTGAACTGTAGTCGCGTGCCAAACTGCTGCCACAGGTTCCGCCAGAAGTTGCTGGTGAATTTCGTGTCGCGGTCGCTGATGATTGCTGCTGGTATCCCGTGCAGTCGTACGACGGTGGCGATGAAGAGGCGGGCTGTTTCTTCGGCTGTGATCGATTTCTTGCAGGCTGCGAAGTGCGCCATTTTCGTCAGTCGATCGACGACGACCATGATCGCGTCGTTCCCACTCGCTCCGGCCGGTAACCCCGTGACGAAGTCCATCGTCACCTGCTGCCACGCACGCTCTGGGGGTGGTATCGGCTGCAACTGTCCTGCCGGCCGCTTCCGTGATGACTTCATGAGCTGGCAAGTGGGACACGATGCCACGTGTCGCTGTACGTCGGTCAACATCTCGGGCCAGTAATAATACCGCTGCAGCTGCTGCCGTGTTTTTTCTACCCCAAAATGTCCCGAGGTAACTCCGTCGTGTGCCTCTTGTAGCAGTAATTCCCGTAGCAGGGTGTATCCTGGTACCCAAATGCGGTCAGTTCCGGTTTTTACGTAATAGACTCCTCGTGCTGTTGCGAACTGCTGCGAGTTTCCTCCGGTGAAGAAAGGGTCTGTTTGATAACCGTGGGTAAATAGTCCTGTTAACAGTGGGCTGGTCTGGGCGAGTAGGATTGCGTGGATGTGGGCGGTGGGGCGGGTCAGTGCGTCTGCGAGGTTGGATGCTCCCTTTTTGTAGGTGACCGTGTAGTGAAAATTGGACTCGAGGAAATCGAGCCAGCGAATCTGTCGTGGGTTGAGGTGAGGCTGTGCGCGAAGGTACTGTAGTGATTTGTGGTCTGTCCGTACTGTCACGTCTGCACCGGTCAGGTAGCAGCGCCACACTTTGAACGCGTGCACGATCGCGAGCATTTCGCGGTCGTGTATCGGGTAATTCTTCTCGGGCGGATGCAGTTTTCGTGACTCGTATGCGATGGGCTGTAGGCCGTTGCCGAAATCTTGTAGCAGTACTGCTCCAATAGCGATGTCGCTCGCGTCTGTAACTACTTCGAATGGGCGGTGTGGGTCGGCAATGCGCAGGACGGGCGGTGAACAGAGAACAGTTTTCAGGGCAGAGAAGGCAGCTTGCTCTTTCTCCCCCCACGTAAAAACGACCCCCTTCCGCAGCAAATCCGTCAGTGGGGCTGTTAAGCGGGCCATGTCGGGGACGAACCGACGGACGTAATTAACAAACCCCAAAAAACTCTGCAGCTCGGTGATGTTGGTCGGGGGGTGCCATGCCTTGACCGTATCCAGCTTCCGTGGGTCAATCTCAACCCCAGCCTCCGAAATGACGTGTCCCAGAAACTCTAACCTATCCTGAAAGAATTCGCACTTAGACCCCTTGGTCAGTAACCTATGCTCCTCTAAAATCTTAAACACTGCTTCGAGGTCCACTGCTTATCGCGACTGTAGACGAGGATGTCGTCGAGGTAGACTATCACGCACTTATCTAAAAGCGGCCTAAACGCCTCGTTCATGGTCATTTGAAATGTCGCAGGTGCGTTGGTCAGCCCGAAGGGCATTACGGTGTACTCGAACGACCCGTATCTAGTCCTAAAAGCTGTCTTGGCACAGTCCGATGGTTCGACCCGAATCTGGTGGTAACCTCCCCGTAGATCTATTTTCGAAAAAACCCGTGCTGTTCGCAGTTGGTCGATCAGTTCGTCGGCGCGGGGGATGGGATATCGCGATTTAACTGTAACCCTGTTGAGCGCTCGGTAATCGATGCACATGCGAAACCCTCCGTCTTTTTTCGGTGTGAACAGTATCGGTGCGGCGAACGGTGACGAACTCGGTCGGATAAACTGCTTCTCTAACAGGTAATCTAATTGTTTCCTCAGTTCGTCGAGCTCTGGTTGTGTCAGTCTGAACTGGCGCTGTACGGTTGGCTGTGCCCCCGGTTCTAGTTCTATCCTATGATCGTGCGCCCGCTGAGGTGTCAGAATGTTGTATTTGTCTAGCCTGCAGTGGGGTACTCTATAGCGAGTACAGCCCAATCTAGGGTTTGCTATTTGTATCTCAACTGCTGCTAGTCCAAACCCCTCTTTCTGTTTCTAAACTTTGCCTACTACTTCTAACATGCTATCAGAGCAGGTCGACCCCCTTGGGTCGATCCTGTGGGTGGGCCCACCACCTAATGCTTCCGCTGCTGTTCTACTTGTCGCGCGCCTCGGTCGCGCGACGCCTCCTTCCTGCGCGCCTCCTTCGCGCGAAAAATTTTTAAGGTTTTCATCCCGCCGTACGCTCGGGGCGTGCGGCGGTTTTCTGCCTACCGTGCGCCCCGAGGCGCGCGGCGGTTTCCCACCGTCGAAGTGCCCCCCGTCGCCCGTCGAAGCGCTCCCCCCCGTCGCCCGTCGAAGCGCCCCCGTCGCCCGTCGGAGCGCCCCCCGTCGCCCGTCGAAACGTCCCCGTCGCCCGTCGAAGCGCCCCTGGGACCCGCGCGCGGCCCGTACGGGCTGCGCCAGGCCCGCGCGCGGCCCGTACGGGCTGCGCCAGGCCCGCGCGCGGCCCGGGCAGCCCGCGCGCGCCTCGTCCCGCCTGCGGCAGACCCGTGCGCGCGCCTCGTCCGTCCCCCAAGCTTCTGTCGGCGCCCCACCCCCGCTACTGCCCGCGTTCCTGTGTTAGGGTTTGGGGGTGGCGGGTGTGGGGGTGCCGGTTGTGTGCCCCGTCCCCTCCTTCTCCTCCTCCTCCGTCTCCCGCTGCTGCAGCTGCCGCTCAGGGGGGTGGGTGTGTGGGGAGCCGACGGAGTGGTACTAGGGGGGTGAAAGGGGAGTGGAGCTAGGGGCGAAGCAGGGGGTGTGTGTCGAGGGGTGTGGGACTGTTGGGGGAGGTTGAGCGGAGGCCGCCGTCGTGTCGTCTGCAGCGCCTGTATTCCGGGGTTCTGATAGCCACCGGTAGCTCAGAGAGCCGGTTGCACCTGTCGCCCGTGGGTCCGTTGCTCCTGCCGCTGCTGATCAGACGCAGAGCCTGTTACTCCTGTATTCCGGGGCCCTTGCTCCCGGTAGCCACTAGAGCTGCATTAGAGCCGTCTGTTGCCCGTGTGCCTGCAGCTTCAGTCGTCGCCTCCACTCTTCTCTCCTCTCGCCAGCCCTCCTCCTCCTCACTTGCCCTCTGTGACTGCCTCTAGCTTTGCTCATAAAATGTGAACTACTATTATGACTGCTTGTTGTGCTGATTACACCCCACTTTGGCTATGGGGGTGTGTCAGAATGTTGTATTTGTCTAGCCTGCAGTGGGGTACTCTATAGCGAGTACAGCCCAATCTAGGGTTTGCTATTTGTATCTCAACTGCTGCTAGTCCAAACCCCTCTTTCTGTTTCTAAACTTTGCCTACTACTTCTGACATGAGGTGGCAGTCCCGCTGGTAAGTCGTCGGGAAATATCCCCGGGTACCGTTTCAACAGCTCCTGTAGTTCGGGCGGTACCGCTGCCAGCAGTTTCTGAAAATCGCTCGGCTGCTCGGCTTCTCCCACTACTGCGTATCAGAATCACTAGGCAAGAATGATGAACTAGCAGAAGTTTGGGTACAAATATGAAACCCTAGTTGGGGTTGTACCCCATATTGGCTACCCCACTACAGCCTACAAGCATACTACAGTTTAACACACCCCCATAGGCAAAGTGGGGGAGAACAAAGGGTCACAAGACCAGTCCAGCAAAGCAAAGCAACGCCCAGGGTGGATC